GAAGTTTTTGTATTCTGCCTTTCTCTGCTTCTGTAATAGATTTTCAATATGGATACTGATTCTGTCTTATCTGCCTTGCTATGACTGCTTGGGGTTTTTGTGATGGTTATTTTAACAAAGCACACATTTTTAATGAGGTTATTGTGACAGTTGTCCCTATATACTTGAATAGTAGACCACAGTAACACTACAGAGATCATTGAGTGGAAATTTCATGGACTCACTGGAGGATTTAGTAATTCCTCTTGAATTTTCTGCTTTTAAATTAAGACAATGTAAAAGGAAGAAAACGTGTTTCCTGAACGTAGAAATGGGAGTAGTATGCTGTAGGCTGCACTCTAGGATGATTAATTTTGGTGTCATCTCAAGGTGTGTCAGACTTCAACCAATACTAATTAATCACTAGACTTTTTAATCCTATTCTGTTCTACTTCTTTTCTGCCTCTCATGGATGAATTACTATTTTGAAAAGTGCTTTAAAAATGTAAAATAGATGTGAAATACATTTCAAAGCCATTTCAGACAGGACCAGCTGATAGATTTTGTTTCTTCTAGAACCTAGAGGAGGAAGGGAGGAGCACAGTCAAGGGATTTCTGTCCTCATGTGTGTGAAACTTCAGAAATAAAGCCTGTTGCATTGTATTCATTAATTGAATTTCTGTTTTCCAGGGTTGCAAATCTCCTTCACCAAGACAAAATACTGCAGTTCGGTACTTTATAATGAAAAGTAGCAACTTGCAAAACATTGATATTTCTCAGCAGAAGGAAATATGGTCCACTACACCAAGTAATGAATGGAAACTGAATGAAGCCTTTTGGGAGAGCAGCGTGGTTTACTTAATATTTTGTGTTCAAGGCTCTGGATGCTTTCAGGTGAGTCTTAATCTAAAAGTAACTATTAGCAGTGGTGGATGGTTTAGGAGGATGCAGCAAATGACTGTGTAGTGTGGACAGCATTGTTTATGGCTTCTGACTTTCTGAGCAGAGCAATGTGCAAATGTCTGTGCTTGCTGAAGAAGGAATATTTCATTTTCTGAAATATGCTTGTCCCTCAGCAGAGGGAATTTTCTCCAAACATCATGAGTAAGAAAAATGTTTGTACCCTCCGTTAATCCTCTAAAACAACAACAACCAGGAAAAAAGTCCTAACAAAGTAGGAGATTGCTACTGTTTGCATGCCAAAATGCGTATTGTAAGTGAGCAAGCACTTACAGTCAAGCCACAGATTTCTAAAGCCAAGAGACCCATACATTTCTTTGTTCAAATTTTGATTAAAACCAGTTTTATTCACTTCTAGTTAGGAAGTGATTCTTCCAGAGCTCTGTCTTGACTTCAGCAAGATATTTGTCAACAGTTTGTTGGTCAAATCCATGGTCAGTTTGAAGTAAAACTTGACCTTGTTTTGCAAAGTTGCACGTTAGCTGTGAGCCAGCTAAATTCAGTTGTTCCAGGTAAAGGAAGTTTAACTTACTTCTTCATAAATAAGTTAGTTATAATAGTCAGCTGAACTTAAAATCTAATGAACCATCCAAAACAATGCCGTCTTGGCAATACCATTGTAGGACTGCAGTGACATATTACATATGATGGTTTGGCAAATGCAGATACTGGAAAGTAATTTTCAGCAAATCAGTTGATCCTGAAAATGGGCTGTTGCACTGGTCCTTGCAGACAAGAAAGCAGGGAAGGGAAGACACTCTCAAGTCAGGAGTGGAGGTGGTTGACCTTGTCCTGCCCTTCCAGTTTTGACAGTGTGCTCATGGGAATGTGAGATTAACTTCCGTATTAATCTTCTCTTGTCCCAACTGTCTCTTTCAGTTCTACATTTACTTTTCTCCTCTGTTCCTTTCATTAATTCTAATTTAAGTCTGGCTTGAGCTATCTAGGACTGCTTGTCTTACAACAACAGTGTGTGCTGGTAATTTACTGAACTGCATCTTGGACTGCTAAGTCCTAAATGGCAGAAATACACCTGAATAGTTGATACGCTGTGTGTGGGGTTGGGTTTACTTTCCATTTGTTTGGTGTGTTGGTCATTCAGGGTGTCCTTAAGTAAGTTAGATGCTGTCTCAGGTTGGGGGTTTCATTCGTTTTCTTTCTGAACACTTGTTGAGCTGGAATTTTGTCCAGTTTCACTAAAGCAGGAAATAAAAGCAACTTTGACTTCGTTCTTTGAAGAACAGCTACACTCTCCTAATTCTGTGTGAAAGTTTGTTAACATAGAGGGGACCTGAGAAGGAACAAATGGATTTCTGCAAAAATTACCTAAAAGTAACAAGGAATACGAATATCTAATGGACTATAATGTAGTAGAATACTCATCTCAATTTCCTTCTGCTTCAGGTGGTTTTGCAACATCTTTTTAATGTGTTACAAAGCCCAGAAAACCTTTAATGATAATTTTGTCATTGAGAGACATTCCTTATGGTCAAACCCTACAAGGCATATTTGAAGTGGGAAAAGAAGTGATTCTTCTAACTTTCTAGATGTAAACATTTTGGAAGCTCCAGCTTCATGGTGGAGAGTGTGTGAATCACTTTGAAACTACTTTGAATGTTTAATGGGTAATTTCGTTATTTCTCTCATCCCACCATAGACAGATATGGTCTCATTATGTCTGTTATTTCATATTTCAGTTTTTGTCCGAGGGTTTTGCTAGAATGGGTTCAGCGACTGGGTGTGAGAAAAGTCAAGATTGGGGATCTGCTGGTTTTGGAGGTGTATTTAAGGTAGACTGGATCTAAAAAGAAAGCATTCCTTTTCAGTTTGCACATCATTTGCTCAACCCGTGGAATGACAATAAGAAAATACAGCTAAGTAGAGATGGCCAGGTAATGTTACTATCTTCTGAAATTTTATTTGGTAGCATGTATTTGGTGTATTTTTTATTCGCTTGTTCAGCCTTGACATGCATCTCCACTTGTTCGTGTTATCTGCTAATATGAATTCACAGTTTATTAGTGTATTGTACCTTCAGCTAATGCAGAATTACTGCTGAAGTAATGGAGCTATTTTGATAAAATCAAAAGTTTCTTGCTTATGTATTAAAAATAATATTTAAAGGTGGATGCTTCCAAAAAGAAGTTGTTGGGTTTGGGTTTTAGTTTGTCATTTAGTTCTGGAGGTTTGTTCCTTGTTTGGTTGAGATGTTTTCTCTTAGATAGCCTGTTACATGCAAATAACAATTCAAAATTACAATTTTTATTTTCTGTAAAGCCTGAAGAGAATTCTGAGGTTTTAGGGAGAGCGAAGCTTAGGACAGTTCTTGTATTTTTACAGCTCTAAATTCAACTACAAAAAGCCAAAGAATTGGTACAACATTTCTATGTGGCCTTTCCTGCCCTTTTCCCATCCCCTCCCTGAATATCTCCTTGATGATTCAAGAGCTAAAGTTTTTGTATCACTTTGTCTCCTTCAAGTCCTCTCTCCAGCTGTAAGAAACTGGATGGATGGAAACATACAAGGAAAGGATGGCCACTCCATTTCCTGTGACCTCTCTTTTCATATTCTCTACCACACTTGATGGAATTCAACTTAAAAGATGTGGAAAATAATGGTCTTTAGTTAGTAAGTTACTGATCTGTGGGAGGTACAAAGTGTCTGTTGCATCTGTTCTTGTGTATGGTGGTAGGGTGTTCACTGGGAATTTTCTTTGTGAGAATTACAGCTCACTGTCAATGAAAACGCCCCAAAAAGCCTGCAGGCCAGGATGGCTTGTGAAAGTTTTTATCTCCTGTGAGATAAAAACTGATCCCTAGTAAGAAAACCTTGCTCTGCTGGGAGTTCTAATGTTTGTTCCAATAGCAAAAGAGATGAGCTCTTCTAGAAAGGTTGAAAGCAATAACCAGCAACCTCATCTAAGAATTCAGGATGAAATAGCTTCTGTATGCTCAATAGTAGCAGTGCAGGTAACTTCCCTGATTTCCTGATCATTTCTAGGAGCTGAAACCACAAGTTGGAGAGCAGTTGCTGCAGCTTTGGGACCGTATTCCTATGGCAGGAAAAGAACTGACTGAGCATGCCAAGTAATGTGACAGAGGTAGCTTTCCATGCACTGCTTGCTGGTTTTGTGGTAGAGGAAAAGCCATGCTCATACAGTGTATCATCACAGTACTGTCATTCCTTTGTAGCTTGTGGAAGTATACTTGGTACTAAATATTCTATTCATTTTGATTTTTTTTTTCAGTTGATGTAGGTTGTTGAAACATCAGCCATGAGAACCAGCAGCATATCTACAATAAAGATGAGGAAGAAGGTGACGCAACAGCCTTCGGACATTCTTCCTTATTCTGGGCAGCTAGAAGTGGAAAAATAAGATGGAACAGTGTTATTTTCAGTATTTACTTACCAGCTTGTTTTTTGACTGAGTTGGATTTTTTACAGTAGTGTGCAGTTGATACATAAAAATTCAGTTAAGTTGAAAACCAAGTTTGAAACATGTAAGTTGTCTATGTGTTTAAAATAGCATAACAGTTTAAGTATACAGTTTACAGTTAAAAGTTTTCTCAACCCAGTAAAAGGTATGAGAATGTAAATGTTAATTAATCACTATTGCCCCCACTTGTGGAATACTCGCCTGCTCCATAGAAGGGGGTAGTACAGGCATGGTCCCAGTCCCGGAGACGACCTCTGGTGCCGCAGAGGTTGCCGTCTCTGTCCCTGGGAGCGCTGCCAATGAAACTCAGCCTGCTTCTACCAGGGTAGCTACTGTCCCAAACACTTCTGCAAATCCTTGGGAAGGGTCTTCCAGTCCTCCGTGGGGTCTTGGATCCTTCAAAATGCCTCAGGAACACCTTTGGAGAGGCGCCAAGTTGGGCACCATCTGCCACTGCCTGCTGGAGCCCAGGCTATCTCTGTGTTGTTCCGGGGGCAATGGCAAATGTGGGGAACTGACTCGGCCGGGGCATTACCGGAGGCAGAACCTTAGAGCCAAATGCCCTACACTCAAGACTCCACAGCAGTGTGGCAGGGATCAAGTAAAAAAGTCAGGAGAAGCTCTCTTGCCATGTAAAGTCCAGCAGGTTTATTGGGTGAGGTGAGGAAAGGGTACACGGGAGAGGAGAGCTGAAGGGAACACAGGCAAGCAGAGCCCCAGCACAGGTGTGCATGGGTTTTTAAAGCTTTGCAAAACAGAGAGTGGACACAACGGGACAAGCAATGAGTAACTCTTAGGGTGTGGTTTTTAGGGATACCACAAATCAGGATAAGGGGAGGAGAGAGGGTTCCATCAGGGATAGGTCCCAGAGGTGAGGGTGTCACAATCCACTAGGACAAGCAGGGTCACGATGGTTCGTTTACCAATCCCAAAAGTGCAAAAGACAAACAGCAGGGGACTATTAGTGTAATCGCAACAAATGCACTTTTAATTGAGTGGCCAGAGCAAATGCAATAGAAGGATTAGAAAGGAGATGGAGGATTGAGAGAGGGAGAGAAAGAGGGGAAGGGCAATGTAGCTACCAATGGAGAGATGAAATCCTCACGGTTCAGCCAATAGATCCGCTGTGTCCATCGGGGAGAGTCTCAAAAGCTTGGTTAGCTTAGGGGTCTTTTATAGTCCTCCGCTGAGGTGGGGAACAAGTATTGAAAAACGGGTACAGACAGTCCATGTTCCGAAGCAGGGCAAGTCAATTTCAACATTGAGCAGGACCCATTATTTCCTTGGTCCAGCAAATTCACCTGCAGGCAACACTAGGCAAACATCCTGTTTCAGTCAGGCCAGCGCCGTTGTGTTAGCATTATAAGGGGTCTCAGTCCTTGGGAGGGAGTTTCAATCTCCATCCATCATGGTGGTCATGAGGCAGATGAGGGATCTTCGTGGGAGATACCAAAGTTACCCCAGAAAGTTCATTTGGCCAAGAAGTGGGAAAATTCATGGGTTATTGTGATGAGCCCTGTTGGGAAGGATAGATAAATATGATTGTCTAGCAGAAGAACCACAACAGTACAGCTAGGATGAATATCATGCCCTCTACTGGCTGGATAATACCCTCACCTACAGAGGGATCCAAAAGTCAAATGGACTGTTCCATCTCACCCCCTAGACTGTATGGTTCATCCCACACCTGTAACCCTCCCCTGAAACATCAAGTGCCTGTGACCCCATTGGCCCAAGTCTTGTTCCAGCTCACCTTGAAGCCTCCCCTGATAAGGGGCCTCTGAAGGGCCAGACGCTCTCTTGGATCTTCCCCTCCCCTCCTGGAACTTCCTCCTGGAGTCCCTGCTCCCCCCTTTGTCTCTCCCTTCCCCCATCACCTCAGGCCCAGCCACGTGCTGTGTATGGCAGCTCGAAGCAGGGCCTCTCTCCATCCTGAATAAACCTTATCCCCCAAGAGCAACCAACAGTGATCTCTCGTCTGTATCCACCCAAACAGTCCGTGAGACCCCCTTCTAACGTCTTTACAGACTGGTGCCCAACTTCAGATACAACCCCACGGTGACCTGCAACCACACCCGTCTGGATGCCTTTCCAGCTCTTCTACCTGTAGGACATCTCTCCATCGACGGTAACTAAATAACTGAAATGAACAGGGTCTATCCCTTTATTAATGTTCAGCTCTTTATTAAAAAGTCAGCTCGCAGGGGGCTCAACAAGGAGCTCGCCTCCACTGTTGTAGCTTCTCCGGTCGCCGAAGGGTGAGCAGGCGTGCAGAGTCTGTCCCTGGAGTCTCCGTGGCACGCTGGTAGCTGGAGGGAAAGAGGTGTGCAGTCTGTATCTGAAGTCCCAGCAGACTGTCCTCTCTCCTTTCCTCCTGGCACACTGGTAGCCACAGGGTGGGGGGATGTGCAGAGCCTGCTGCCGAAGTCCAGCAGCAGCTATCCCTCTCCTTCCCTCCTGGTAACACCAGGAAGTGTGAGTCTGCTTTGCTCCTGCTTCCCACAGCCCAGTCCAGTCTGGTCCTCTGTAGGTTATGGTGACAGGTCAAAAACAGACTAGGGATGGGGTTCCCTTTTCCCCAACGAGCACACCCATCCAGCCCCCTCCACTGTGCCCATCTTTTCCATTTAGGGGTGTTTCATCCCTAAAACCCCCTCCCATGATTCCACTGGATTATTTTGCATCCCGGTCCTAGAATGGTAGTGAGGGTGAGGGGAGATAGGTGATTCCCAGGAACAATTAGCTAATTAACATTTCAATGTCAGTACTTAGCCCAAGCCAAGTGTCCCAGCCAGGCTGTTTTGTTCATAACAATAACCAGGTGTTTCCTCCCCATCGGTGTCGTGAGCACGGCATTTTGTTGCTAGGCAGTGCCGAAGCCGGAGCTCTTTGAAAATTGCTGAGGCAATCCTCGAGCACCGCAACTCGTTACCAAGTAGCGAGTTTTCAGGGCTCTAGGAGGATTTCTGCCCATTATATCTCTGAGCACAGGCAACCGCTGCGAATCAGCAGCAACCTAAAGCTCTGCAAGGAGACTTGCCGTGGCACGCTGCCACGTGCACAGAACACTGCTTTGCACTGCCCGCGCTGAAGCTCTGAGGGGGGTTTGGAGCTCCCGAGCACCAGAAGCTGTCCCTGAGTGACGCCCGATCCCGGAACTCTGAGGAGACCCCCGCGGAGGGTCCTCAGCACCGACTGGAGTGTACGTTGGAACCCGACAGAGGACCCCGCTTCTGCGACACCGAGGTGAGCCACACTGGTTTAAAAATGGGACAATCCCACTCTGCATCTGATTGAGATCTCTATAAGCAACCACCTTTTACGTAGTCATAACAGTACCTTGTCTAAGAAAGAGTTAAAAAATCTTCTAGAATGGATCTTTCTTAATTTTCCGAATGCCGAGCGTTCTGCTGTGTTTTGTAGAGACTTTTGGGACTCAGTTGGTAATAGACTTTTTAATGATATTTCACGGCGCGATCCCGAGGCTTGTGAACTACTTCCGGCGTACATGACGCTGGCAGAGCTCTGCGCTTCTCAAAAGCCACTGATAGCTGCCAAATCCGCCCCTGCCGCAGCCCCGCAATCCCTGCCGAGCCGCCCGGAAACCCCCCACCCCGGTGACCACGCCGGCCATGCCGTGGCTCCCAAGCAGGCTGCCCCCACCCCCGCGGCCATCCCACCCCTCCCTGCCAGAGCCACGCCCTCCTCCCCACGCAGCCCAGACCGCGCCCTTGCTTTCACCTCTATCCCCCTGAGCCGCTCTGCCACCCCCACGGCCATCTCACCCCTCCCTGCCACGGACACGCTTTCCCCCGCAGCAGCGCCTGTCCCGGCTACGGTGGCCACTATAGCCGACCTTCTGCAGAGTCAAATACCGGATTTTTTGCAGGCGCAAACTCAAGCAACAGCCGCCATCCTGCAAGCGTTAAACGCTTTCGCCACCGCAGCCGCCGCACCCCTGCCGCCCCCCCGCCCAGCCACGGGAAGCCGTTTCAGGACCCAGCGCCGTGCTCCTGCCGCCCCCCCCCCCAGCCGCGGGAAGCCGTTTTGGGACCCAGCGCCGTGCTCCTGCCGCCCCCCCCCCCCCCAGCCGCGGGAAGCCGTTTTGGGACCCAGCGCCATGCCCCTGCCGCGCCCCCCCCCCCCCCCCCCAGCCGCGGGAAGCCATTTTGGGACCTAGCGCTGCACCCCTGGTGGCCCCCCACCTCCTGGACCCGCGGCAGGCCCCCCTGGCGGCCGCAAACCCGACGTCCCCACCCCCCCACACCGCACAACCAATGGCTCTGGCTGTAGAGCCCCAAAAACCCCCACCGGCAGCACTTCCTGGTTTGCCGACCCTATCACCATATCCCTCCGCATCCCTCCCTCCGCCGGATCTACATTCTACAGCTGCAACCAAAGCTACAGAGTATCCTTCCGCAGACACCGGTTCTTCCCATGTGCCTCTGCTGTCAGGCTCAACTCCTCCTGCTCTTCTGCCTCAGCTGACAGCAGCTCCTGCCTCCTGCACAAGCAGTATCCCACCGCAGCTTGGCACAGAAACCACGCAGCGAGAGGGAGGAGGAAACAATGTGGCATCGGCTTTGACAAATAAAGGACAGAGAGAGAACTATTCTGCCCCTGCAAACCCTAACCCACCTATCCCAATTTCACCAAATTCTCAGCAAAGTGCTAACAGTCTCCAACTGACAAACTGCCTTGAAATCAAATATGATAGCCGCAAAGAGGACAACCTGAATCCCCGAACCATGCCCGTGGTATTCAGCCAGCAAACAGCTGTCCCATCTCAGGAGGTGAAAGAAGTCCTAAAAGCAATCAAAGACAGTGGTATCTCCTTTTCCTATTTTAAACCACTGTTAAAAGGTACCATAGAAAAAACACGCCAAACCTTAAAACGCATTTTAAATCGAAAGAAAGGGGGAGTAGAGCAGGCTGCACCTCAAAGGAAATTGAAAAAGGCTCTGTATGTTCACAGTTTTCTAAATAGCTCTGCAGGAGGGCCTCGACCCCCCATTTCTAGACATTTCCTGAACACCAAAAAAGTAAAAATAAAGGGGCACCCCCCAGTTTTACTCAAAATCTTAGATTCAGGATATATACAAGGTCAACACAGTCTTCTAACATGGGGGAAAGGTTTTGCTTATGTTTCCACAGGTCAAGGACTCAAGTTGGTCCCAGCAAAGAATGTGAAGCCCTACCACGCACCAAAATCCACTGGCACCCCCAGACCAGGCAGTACTTCTGCAAGTACAAGCCAAGAAGCCAGCACCCAGACCTGAACTACACTGCGTCATCAAGAGAAAATGACCTGCCAGAAACAGCTCGAGATAAAAAATGGACTTTTATCGTTTATATGCGTGCATGTTGCTTTTGTTCTTCTGTTTCAGTTTTTGTATTGAAGTTTTACTTCTAAGCCAACCAAAGACAAATGCCTGGGTAGCTTTAGCCAAGCCTGCAAGCTCTAAGACCACCTATATATCTAACACAAACCCTAACAAACCTTTTTCAACCCGTTTAATTATAAGACATTTTCCAGAAAATTCTGACAATGCCTCCCCTACTATAATCAGTGATTTGATAACAATTAACCCATCTCAGCTACACAGTTTATTTAATGGTTTGAGCCTTGCACTTTAGCTAAAGGAACTCTGCAAGCTAAGCTTGACTGTTCCAGTAGTAATAAGTATAGTTTTAGTAGCAATACCCTGTACACTTCCAGGTGTGCAGAAAATAGTTGTTAAGTCAATTATTTAGTATTTCAAATGGTTCAGTGAAAGCAGGGGAGATGTTGGGAAGGATAGATAAATATGATTGTCTAGCAGAAGAACCACAATAGTACAGCCAGGATGAATATCATGCCCCCTACTGGCTGGACAATAACCTTACCTACAGAGCGGTCCAAAAGTCAAATGGACTGTTCCATCTCACCCCCCAGAATGTATGGTTCATCCCACACCTGTAACCCTCCCCTGAAACATCAAGTGCCTGTGACCCCATTGGCCCAAGTCTTGTTCCAGCCCACCTTGAAGCCTCCCCTGATAAGGGGCCTCTGAAGGGCCAGACGCCCTCTTGGATCTTCCCCTCCCCTCCTGGAACTTCCTCCTGGAGTCCCTGCTCCCCCCTTTGTCTCTCCCTTCCCCCATCACCTCAGGCCCAGCCACGTGCTACTACGCAGCCCGAGGCAGGGCCTCTCTCCATCCTGAATAAACCTTATCCTCCAAGAGCAACCAACAGAGGTCTCTCATCTGTATTCACCCCAAACCGTCCGTGGGAGCCCCCCCAAACGTCTTTACAGAGCCCATATCATGAAGCAGGTGTATAGGTACAGTACAGAGCAAGCCGGTCCTTGTCAGGCCCTGCTCGAAGCAGTGTAGCATGGCAACACAGCAAACACACCTGCAAACAATCATCTGGCAAGCATCCATCTCAACCAGGCCAGAACTCCAGTCGGGGTCTTTAGGATCTTAGTCTCTGCCATTGCAACAATTGTGAAGCAAAAATGAGGGGAACTTCAGACCATCCCTTACAGAGGGACAGGGATCTTTCTAGAACAATGGGTAGGATTTAGGTTGGCAGACAGGGCAAAGGAGCCAGGTTGCACAACCAAAAAATACATAAAAAAATAAAATTGTCCAAAAAGACACGTGCATTAAATTTCATACATATTATATATTCTAATTTGTATAATATCATATCTAAAAGATATAAGGAATATATGTGATCATTTTCAAAGCCATTGCTTGTGGGGCACATAGATCATGTCCTAGTGTTTGTACATTTTTCCTTTCTGTTACTGCTGATCCCAGCAGCAGCTTCCCTGGCAGCTTTTCTAGGGAACTTCACCCAGAGGGCTTCCATCATTTTAGTGCTTGTGGGAACTTCTTGTTTCCCAGTTTTCCAGCCTCCTGGATTTTGGGGCATCTCAGCAGTTGAGTCCATAGCCCTTCCATCATCCCCAGCCTGCAGCAGTCAGTCACTGCTGCCTCCCCCTTGCTGCAGCTTATTTGCCAAAGTGCTGCCAAAGGCAGCGGAGCTGGCTCAGGATCCCTGCTGGCTTCTGGTCTCTACAACAAGCTTCAGAGGGACACTTGGAGCGCTACCTAGAGAGCTGCCCCTGAGATGGGGGTGGATTTGTCCTCCCAGGTGGCTCCTGTTTGGAGTTCTGCTCTCAGTGGAGTCCTGGAGTTTCCTCAGCAGGCCTTTGCAGCGAGTTCTGAGCCAACGTGTGGCTCTGCTGCCATCCCAAATCTGCACCTCCCTTGCCCAGCCTGAGTGCAAGTCAAGCATTTACTATTCTCATTTACTAATCTCTGGGCATGGCCAGAGATTTTCATGGCCAAAATCGTCTGGCATTTACATCTGCTCATGGCTGTAGGTAGCACAAATCTATACTTCTTTCAGTTGAATGAACTGCTAATAAACAAATACACAATCATCAAGTTTAAAAATGAAATTTATTTTAAATTGCTACACCTGTGCTGCCAATATAGAAACATACAAATATAAATTTAAGATTAACATCTAGTTTATTGTGACAAGCATGTTATGTAAATATATACAGGTATCAACTGCAGTTAAAAAAATTAATTTATTACAACTCACTATACACAAATACGAATTTAAGTTTAACAAATTTATTACATATTACTACAACCATGCAGCCTATATACAAATACATGTGTGCCTCAGCATGAGCTGTACTACATTCCTTCTGACTTTGGTGTTGGAGAGACAATTTGGACTCCCTACAGAAGCCATTGTTGTGCTTGGAGGCAGCCACGGAGCTCTTTAGGGCACTCCTTTTGCCTTTGAAGGCAGCTGGGAGTGGGTGGGCTTTGCCTGAGCTTCCCTGTGAAGTAAAGGCAAAAGCGGAGATTGTTTCCCAAGCAGAAGGCTGGGGCCTAGCAAATGACCCAGGAAAGGTGTGTGTGCTAGTCTGGCCAAACTGATCAGAATAGTTGGCTTCCTAGAATCCCTTTAGACTCCACTGGAGACAAAATACTTCAGAGAAATTGATTGGCTGTGGGGCTGGTTTCATACTGCTGTTATTTTCATGACTGGTATTACTTCTACTATTCCTTCTACAGATCACATGGGCCCCCTGCCATGTAAATCTCTACTCGAGGTGCTTTTCAAATGAAAAGGATGGAAATTTGCAGTGTAGGAATCAAAAAAGTGAAGCACATGACCAGGAGCATTTCAGGGTTAGTTTCTCCAATGCCAGCTCAGAGACAGACTCAGAATAAAAATCCTAGAAACCCTCAAGCCAGTTGGAAGACTCCCCAGAGAATAGTGCTCAATGCTCATTTCTGAATTGTCCATTCTTTCTTAAAGATGCAAAGTTGCTCCTGTGGCTGTTCTGGTGTTGCTTGGAATTGGGAATGGGCTCCTTCCTTTATTAACTCCAACCTACAATGCCTTTGGAATATAGTTGACTGGCCCAGTTTTGTCCAGCCGCAAACTTCTGGATGAGGAAGCAAATGCAATTGCATTTCCAGCCAAAAGGCAATGAAGAGCAGAGCAGCTAAAACATCCTGTGGGGACACAGGCTTTCATCTGTGCACAGAGAGGCTTTTGGTTCCTGCCTAGTGCAGACGGCATGTCTCCTCTGTGACTGCTCCTGCATCCCTGGTGGCCATGGCTGCCAGGTACGAGGCTCTGCAAGTGGAACCAAAGAAAGTGGGCACATTTGCTGGCAGTACAGAAGAGGGGAGAGCAAAGAGTCTGGGAGGTGCCTGGCCAAGGAGGGACACCACCTGCTTGACTGGCTCTTTGCCATCAGAAAAGGACTGGTGCCATGTTTTGGGGCCACCTGGGGCTCAGCAATCATGAAAAATCTCTGTGCTTGCCTAGGTTTGTCCCTCTTTCTGTGCCTTCTGTTGTCCCAGTGCTCAGCAACTGCTCCCCAGAGCTAAAGTGCAGGAGGGCCTTAGTTGTGTGCCCTTTAAGGTGGCTGCTCACGGCAGCCTTTTCAATCTGGAAGCTCCGTCTGGAGAGCGAGTTCCCTTCTCTGGTGACAGAGGCCAGGGCCTGTCATCTGCAGTCCCAGGTGGCATTTAGGGCCGCCTGGTGCCTCAGGCTGGTGTGACCCTACCACAAACAACAGGAGACAGTGGTAGGTGGTTGTTTCCAAAGTCACATCCTTCAGGGGCAGTGTGCTACGTGTATCCTTTGTCCAGCCCAGCCCCAGACCTAGGGATCAGATGCAGGCACTGCTGCTGCCGCCACTGAAGTCAGCAAGGATTTGGTGGTTGGTTTCCATCCCAGCAGAAGTGGTCACTTATGAAGCTGGCTGCTGATGGTGCCCTGCAGATCTCTGGGCTGCATGGTTGTGAGGGAGCTGTCCCTTGTTGTTATTCCCCATCAGGGAAAGCTGTGCCTGTGGGTCTCAGATTCAGTCAAAGAAAGAAATTGAGAGTTACTAGCCAGGCAAAAGCCTGGGAAAGAGCTGGGAAAGAATGTAAATAATTCTTTATCTCTCTTGTTCTCACACTGTTTATAGTTAAGTTCTGTCACTGTGCGTCAAGCACTCTGAACCAATGTTGTAGGTTGTTTTCACTTTAGAACCAATGGATTTAACCTTTGCGAAGCTCTGTATAAAAGAGCAGTGTATTTTGAATAAATCGGAGTTTTCACTCTCACAGCCTTCTGAATCAGTCTTCTCATTCCCGTCCTGCCTCGACAGCGACATCTGGTGACCGCCGACGTGGACTCACGCCTCACTCTGGGGTACGGGGTCTGACGACCTCGCCTGGGCTGGCGACCTGCACCTCGCGTCTTGCGGGGGGGTCTCGGCGGCGCGGCACTGCGCCACCAGCCTGTGGCTGTGGACGGACACCTTTGCCTTCTTAAGAAAGGTAACGCTGGAAGTCCGCGCCTTCTGTAGAAGGCTGTGGTTCGGCTTCTAAGAGCTGGGACTGCGGGACGGGGTCTCCCTGGAGGAGCGGACTGTTTTGTCTCTAAAAGTGGACTTTCGCTGACGGGAGATTTCATAGCGATGGGGAATCAGGCATCTGCAGCTGATCGGACGGTTTTGTACGCCTGGCAAGCCTCTATCCCGCAGATGAGGGCTCGGGTCTCTGAGGAGGAACTGATACGGCTCTTAATCTGGGCTCGAGATCAGAGATTCTCCGTGGACATTAGGCGGGCCTTTGATCGAAAGCTCTGGCGCGATATGGGGCGGTGTCTCATGCAGCAGATGCACCAGGGAGACGCGGAGGCGTCCGCACTGTTTTCAGTCTGGGGGCGTGTGTATGTGCCCCTGCGGGAGGGGGCCCCGGGGAGCTCGGACTCCGAGGGGGTTCTCTCCGGGAGTGACGACGCCGCTTCTGTATCTAGTGGTCTCTCGGGGAGAAGGGACACGCGGACGGGCCGAGCGACGCCCGATCCCTTCCCCGGCGCGGAGCGGGGTGTCGGGTCATGGTGGAACGCCCCGCAAGCCTCCCGTGTCGCCGGGGATTCCTGCTGGTCCCAGCGCTGCCTAACCCCATGGCTATGCTCAGCCTGGGAAATTTTTGCCGGCCAATCAGCCACAGATTACACAGCAGACTGTACCCCGGCCGGCTGAACAAGCGCAATCTGCTTTTGGCACGGTGCCAGTGCCAGCACCTGCTTTTCAAGGTGGCGCTGGGGGTGCCATCGTCGCAGCCCTCGGGCTCGGCGCACCCCCCTTTGCACGGCCTGTTGGGGGCTGTCTCGTCTACGCCACAACAGCCCGGACTCGGTCCGTCAGTTGACCAGACGGCTCCGCTGGTTCAGCCCTTGGTGGGGCTCCGCTCTGCGGCTGGCGGGAGGGGCGGTGCAGCCCGCGGCGCCGGGCGCTGCGGGGGCAGTGGCCCCCCGGCTCCTTTGTTATCAGCTATGGAGCCTGCGCAGATGTGTGGGCCTCGCTCTCAGCTGCCTCTGGGGGCAGGGATGCAGCCTTTCGCCCACTCGCTGGCGCAACCCTCGCTTCCCGTGGGGGTTCAGGTTCTGCCAGTGGGAGCAGCGCAGCTGCTTCCCGGAACGTCCCGCTGCGCGACGTGTGCTGGGACTGATTAGATTTCTTTCACGGTGCCAGCGTCAATGGTTCAACACCATCTTGCGGGGGGCACTTCGGTGTCGTTTTCGGCCCTCCCGGCCCCGGGACTGACGCCGGCACTGGGGGCGGTACCTGCTCTCCACACCACGCCTGCTGTGGCGCCGGCGCTCCCAGCGATGGGGACCGGCGCCCTGCCCGCCGCATCCGCGGCTGGAACGGTTCTGCCTTTCGCCGTGCCCGCCGCTCCGGCGGCTTGAGCAGCGCCTCTGGCTCCCGCCCCCCCCCCCCTCCCCCCGCTGTCTCAGCAGCAGCACCTCTGCCTCCCTCGCCCGCTGGTGCTTCAGTGCCCGTGATGCCTGCTGCGCCCCAGCAGCCAGTGCCGTTCCTGTCATCGATGACACATCCACGGTGTTGCAAGCTCCTGCTGACCCTTTCGTCTTGCCGTCTGCGACGGAGGGATTCGCCGAGCGGCCGGTGATGGTTCCAGTCCCCGCCCCGTCACCAGCGGCTGGCCCACCTGGTTCGGGAGCTGTTGGCTCGGGGGCCCAGCCCAGTGCTTCGGCTTCGCAGTCGATAGCCGCCTGCCCAGCCTCGGTGTCTCCTGTCAGCCCACCCTCCCTCGTGGATCGCGGACTGTCCCACACGCCCCTGTCACAGGAGGCAGGTAGTGACAGCGATGATTTGATCTCGATTCCGTCACGGGGGCCTGACCGCCTGTCGGAACGCCGACACGGACGAGGGCGGTGAGCGTCCCAGAGAGATCTGTGGACGCTGCCTCCCTGTCAGGTGTCTGTGCGACCGATAAATCCCTGTCGCTTTTGGGATGCGGTCAGGCAAAGCGCTTTGGAAGCGTGTGATTGGGATTTGTTAGAGCGGGTGGGAAAGCCTGGTGGTGCGGTTCTGAACCCACCTCTCAAGGAGGATGAGACCGTGCCTAGCTGCCAGTTGGTTCCTCTGTCCCTCTCAGGGGGAGCAAAAGGGGGTGGGGGTGACGATGCTTCAGTGCAGCGTAAGCTGCAAGTCTTTCCTGTACACAAGGCTGTCCCAAATTTGGGACAGCAGGACAAGCATGAAGTTACAGCTTGGAAGGTTGTACAGGATTTGCAGGACAAGGTGGCAAAATATAGGTTGGGTTCTGCCCCATTGATGCAGGTCCTCAGAGTGATAAACACTGACCTGCTGGCTCCCTATGATATCAAACATCTGGCCTCTGTGTTGTTCCAACCTGTGCAGATGGATCTTTTTATGAGCAACTGGAGGAGGATGGCCGACAGGGTTGCAGCTGAGAATCAACATTATCCTCAAACAGACCCTAGGTGCTGTCTGGGGGTGGATGCACTCATGGGACTCAATAGCTTTTCCAATCCTGATTTTCAGGCCACTTGGCACCACATCGTACTTGAGCAGGCCCAGAAGATAGGCTTTGTGGCATTGCTCAAGGCCATGGAGACAGCTGCTCCCAGGCAATGATATGTAAAGATAGCACAGGGGGCCAAAGAGTTGTTCCTGCCATTTGTTGAGAGGCTCGCAGCTGCAGTTGGAGAAGCAGATTGAGGATGAGACTTTGAGGCAGGTTTTGTGCAAAACTTTGGCAAGAGACAATGCAAATGAGGATTGTAGGAAAATTATAGACGCATTGCCAGGCGATCCGTCCTTGACAGACATGGTCGAGGCTTGTTCCAAGGTTGGTACAGTGGACCATAAAATGTCTGTTCTGGCAGCATCTTTGCAGGCAGGCCTGTCGTCCTCATTGACTGGTCGGCACAAGATGGAGAAGAAGAAGAAGGGCAAGCAGGTACAGGGGGCAAAAGGCAAGAAGGGGTCAGACTCTAATTTTCTGTGCTCCGGGTGTGGTAGGCCAGGTCATTTTGCGAAGGAATGCAGGTCGACTTACCATGCTTATGGTAAGCGATTGACAGGCTCGGGAAACAGGGGCAGAAGCGCACAGTGGAACTGCGCGCTGACACAAGTGATCCCCCAGAACACAGCACCGGTGCAGGGTGCCCCTGTCAACTCGACACAGGCATCCACGGCTCTGCCGGGGTGGATGTACACACCATAGCAGCAGTCATCTTAGATTCTACTGAGGTGCACAGGGTTCCTCTGAATGCATTCGGGCCTTTAGGTCATGGATTGGGTGCATTGTTGATGGGGCGGTCTAACACTAGCCTTTTGGGGGTCTTTGTGCACCCGGGTGTCGTGGATTCTGATTTTATGGGCCAGATTTGTGCTATGGTTTCCACACCCTCCCCTCTTGTCATTATTCCGGCAGGAACCCGCATTGCTCAACTTGTGCCTTTCCAGTCGTGTGTTCCCAGAGCAGATCAGCAGATGCGTGGAGATGGTGGTTTCGAATCCACAGGACCTACGCAAGTCCTCTGGTCCTCGCTCATTTCTGCCAACCGTCCACAAATGGTGTGCTCCGTGGTTTTGCCAGGTGCCAGCCCGTCTCGGATTCATCTGCAAGGTTTGATCGACACCGGGGCTGACGTGACAGTCGTCTCCGCCTCTGTGTGGCCTCCTAAGTGGCCTTTGGACTCCGTGGGAGTGGCCATTGAAGGCTTGGGAGTTGCAGTACAGACATTTATGTGCCGGCAGGCTGTGTTGAGCAAAAACATGGAAGGGCAGACAGCAAAGGTTCGGCCCTATGTTACTGCAGCTCCGGTCACTCTTTGGGGGCGGGATGTGCCGGCAGCCTGGGGTGTGCGCATCGGGACGGATTTTTGATGGGGGTCACTGTGTTGAAGGGCGCAGATTACCCTACACTGCCTTTGCGGTGGTTGGTGACCAGAGCCGACCTCCTTGGAAGTATTTGGGGGTCAAGATTCTGGAGCAAACCATTCAGCATCAGGAGGTGCAATTTCCAGAGACTATTGCAACGCTGAATGATGCCCAGAGATTGCTTGGGGTCCTCAATTGGTTACGTCCCTATCTGGGGCTGACCACGGCGCAGCTGTCCCTGCTGTTCAAACTTTTAAAGGGGGACCCGGACCTGAGTTCGCCTTGGAAATTGACTCTTGAAGCGCGGCAAGCGCTGGAGGAGGTTCAAAAGGCTCTGTCTACTCGTCCGGTTTACCAAGTAGACCCTTCCATTGATATCACTGTCTGAAGGTAACGCCAGGGCTGATAGGTTGGCTAACCCTGCGTGGGTGGCACCTCAGCCTGATAGAACTGCGCAAGCCAAGGCATTGCATGACTTTTTTCACCAAAGTGCACATACTTTGCAAAAACAGTTTGATTTGACAGCAACCGAGGCTCGTGACATTGTCAGCTCTTGTGCTGACTGTCATGGGTTTGCTGCACCTTTACCGGCGGGGGTGGACCCCAGAGGCCTGAAGGCCTTGCAGCGCTGGCAAACAGATGTTACACACATTGCTGAGTTTGCTCGACTTAAGTATGTGCATGTGTCTGTCGACACCTTCTCCTCCGCCATGTGGGCAACTGTTCACACGGGGGAGAAGAGTCGCGACGCAATTGCTCATTGGAGGATGGCTTTTGCAGTTCTGGGGATACCTTCGTGCGTAAAGACTGACAATGGCCCTGCCTATGCCTCACAGAAGTTATGTCAGTTTTTGCACCTGTGGGGAGTCTCACACAAGTTTGGTACTGCACATTCACCCACAGCTCAAGCCATTGTTGAACGCGTGCATGGCACTTTAAAGCGTGTTCTGGAGAAACAAAAAGGGGGAATGCCAGGAGAGACTCCACACAGTCGGTTGGAGAAAGCTTTGTATACAATCAACCATTTAACTGTGCCAAAGAATTCAGAGATTCCTGTCATTTTGAATCATTTTCTCTCATTGCATTCAGCAGGTGAGACGCATCTGCCCTGAGCGCAGGTCTGGGTGCGAGACCTTGTCACCAATAGGTGGGAGGGTCCGTGCAACCTCATTACTTGGGGCCGCGGGTATGCATGTGTCTCCACAGGTACCAGGGTACGATGGATACTTGCAAAGTGTGTTCGCCCTGACTTGAGACAGCAGAAACAGAGTGTGGTCAACAGATAGCCTGTGAGCAGTGACCATGCTGCTGACCATCCATCACAATCTTCAGATGATGATCAAGACATCAACCATCAGTCAGCCAGCCCCTCCACGAGGGGGAAATGAACATTTGATTTGCTTTGCTTTTTGGACATGAACTGGTGACGAGTTAGACTGCCTGTGTTACAAGCAGACTAACAATGTTTTGGTGTTGGTGATGGAGTTTTAGATTTAATAGTTAAGTTTGTAAAGAGTTATAGTGTAAGTCAAAATCTCTTTGACTGTTCTGAGCCAACATTCAATGAGGTTTTGAATCATCAACTAGTGAACCTCGGAGTCGTGTTTGTCCTCTCTTCTGCAAGAGACCTTGCAAAAAGGAGACAAACACTGCCTTCTTTTTTAAAACTAAAAGAGAAGACATGTGGGTCTCAGATTCAGTCAAAGAAAGAAATTGAGAGTTTCTAGCCAGGCAAAAGCCTGGGAAAGAGCTGGAAAAGAATGTAAATAATTCTTTATCTCTCTTGACCTCACACTGTTTATAGTTAAGTTCTGTCACTGTGCGTCAAGCACTCTGAACCAATGTTGTAGTTTGTTTTCACTTTAGGACCAATGGATTTAACCTTTGCAAAGCTCTGTATAAAAGAGCAGTGTATTTTGAATAAATCGGAGTTTTCACTCTCACAGCCTTCTGAATCAGAGTCTTCTCATTCCCGTCCTGCCTCGACAGCGACATGTGCCAGCCAGGTGTGTGTCAACACAGCAAACAGGGAATGTGAAGTTACCCCCATCTGTGTCTGCTAAGAGTTTTGACCTTTGAGATTAAGTGGCACAAAGTGAATCACTTTAGATTCCTCTCTGCATCTCCTTGTTAGGTAATGCTGCTAAATTGGCCTGCAGCAGGGGAAAATGCCTCTCAGCTCTGCAGATTTGATAAATTGCCATTTGTCCTGAGGAATTTCTTTTTACAAAGTACACAAAAACTTGTTAAAAAGTGAAACAACAGGGAATGATGGTTCCAAACATTGGAACAGTTGTGGTTTCTCTGTTTTCCTAAGCTTGCCTTCCTGTAGTCTGTCTAACTGATCCCTGCCTCATATCTCCCATTTCTGATGGGGCTTGTCCACTGGTTTCCTAGCACCAGTATTTTACTAAGTTTTAAGTTTCACATTCTCTTTAAACTGTTCTGTCTTGCTTTCTTTACATCCACTACAGCCAGTTCCCTAAAGCTCACAGATGTGTCACAGTAAGAAATGTAGAAAATTGTTATGTGCTACAATATAAAGGAATATAAGAAGAATATTTATAAGGAGATCTTATTGTCCTTCAGGACAATTTACAGTGAGACTTTGAGACTTAAGCACTTAAAAAGCAGACAGTATTAAGAGCTATTGAGTTGATGAATGATTCTCTGATGCTTTAATTATGTAACATAATGTTCCAGGCAAAAACTTGCCACAGGAGAGGTTCACATCAAGTAGGAGAATAGTCATTTTTGTCTGCTTGTTGGAAATGTATGACAGTATGAGACAAGAACCTCTTCGTACCTATGAAAAATTCTGTACAGAAATTGGAGCAATTCTAGGAGATGTTAGCGGAAGTCTAGATAACACCCTTGGAGGTACATTATTATTTATTCCCCTCACTGATTAGTAGGAATGTACTTCAACTGCAAATAATTGCAATCCCCATACTTCAAAAGACACTGGCCAAGGTAGTCTTTCTTGAAAAATGTGGTGGAATTTGTTTATCTCTTTTTTTTTTTTTTTTTTTTTTTTTGAGTTTTTTGAGCTCTGCTTTGTTCCTGTGAATCTGTGTGAACATGAAAGACTATATCAGACCCTGGGTTCTAAGGTAGAGTCTGTTTATTTCAGGTTGAGCTGGGTGCCACCAGAGAGGGACCCTGACCAAAGAAATCCCTGGGCCTTTATACCCTCACAGTCTGTGCACCTGACCTTCATGCACTTGTCACATGCCCTGCATGAGACTCTTAGTCCTATGGTGATTTATGGTCTGGGGTCTTCCGACACTTCATTTGATTCTGTGTGTTCATGTGCCATTAACTTCTCTTATATTTCAGCTTGGGGCAGTCTTGGGACCCTCCAGGGTCTCAGCCCTTATCTGAAGATAACCAGTCTTTCTCTGTTTTCTCCCCTGCTTATCCATTATGATATCCATTATGAGTTTGCCTATGTAAGTTTTGAGCAGGGCTCTCTCTTGCTAAGGTGAAAGTGCAGGATTTGTAATTTTCTCTTCTTCCCCCCCCATTCTCCCTTCCCCCTACCCCCGCGGTCCCTTGTCGCAATGCTGCATTCCCTTATCACTCCCCCTCCCCTGCGGTCCCTCGTCCCGACTCTTTGTTCCCGTATCACTCCCCCTCGCCATGCGGTCCGGTCCCTGCCCACCTCCCCAGCCTTTCCCATAATGGTCTCCGGGGTTTCCATGCCCCTGTCCCCTGCCTGCAGTCCTATTGGCCACGGCTCAGGTTCCCCCCTGCCCCTCAGGGTATAACTGACCCTCGGTTGGTGCCCTGGTGTCTCAGGAACACACTTCTACAATAAACACGTGTTTGCACCCGAGCCCCGTGTCACCATTTTGTCTGTTCTTGCGCTAGAACTGAGCCTCACAGAGCCGAAGGGGAAAGCGGCCACTGCCTCTCCCCTCCTCCCACCGTGCCCGCAGACGCCCGCCCGGAGCCGGTCTCGCATGGCAACAATGAAAGCAAGTTACAATTAAACTCAAGCCTACACAGAAAATTTCTAATATTCTATAAGTAAACTTATTTTAATCCCCAACAATAAACTCCTAGTTTACATCTAGCATCTGGTTTACAGTGCAAGTTCTGCCTATCTCAAGGCCACACAAGTCATCTCAGCACCCTTGTTTGTTGGCTTACTCCCTTTTAACAGGGACAATTTAATAGTGCTTCTATTTGAGTCAGTCTGGTATATGTCATTAATGTTACTCTATACTCTGCTATGATACCCATACTTTGTAACCAATCACATACCACAAAGGAAGAATCAGAAGGGGAAATCTTGCACTCTCTCAAGCATCTTTCTCCAAGTCTTAGGGGATGACCTGTTGCACCCAACTGAGACGTCATTGTGGTCTGATGGACAGCTGTGAGCTGGTAAGTCACGGGCCAGAGGGGAACATACGTGCAAAACATGAAGTTGGCTACTATGTGAAATTTGGATAGGGTAAATTCACCGAAACCCTTGTACTTGGCTTGACAAGCCAATCCTGCCGTTATTTGTCTTACCTAAGGACTAGGGACCTTACTGGCAGGACAAATAACACAGTTTTGAAGCACTTGAGTATGATATTTTTTAAGAGGGCATACCACACTACACACAGAATGAAAGGGTAAAATAAACAAAAGTAAGTAAGCCCTGCTTGTATATAATTGGTAGTAATTATATTGTGAAATTATTAAATGAAATATAAATTGAATAAGTCTCATGCATGTCCAGGTGAGTTGTAAAAATGTGATTTACAATATGTAGTGTGCTCCTCAACACTACGCTTCATTAATATTGCTGTATGGCTGTCTCTAATAGCATTAAACACTTCAAAATAAATGTATATTTTGCATATGGGCAATACCTCACAGTCATACTAGGCAATGAAAGAACAATAGCATGCCTTTTATCTTACAAGTGTCAACAGAATTTTTGTCTAGATGATTTCTACTAGCTGACTTTTGCATTCAAACAGGAGTCTGCCTTAATTATCCTTGTTAAGCACACTGGATTACAACTTCCATTGTTGCACTGCAACTGCCCAGCATTTTTGTTTCAAACACAATGAAATGTATATGGAATACTGCAATAAGTTACCACTTTGCTATGAGTAGCTCTTGGAAAATATAAAAATTCCTCTAAAACGTCAATACCTAATACATTAGACTATGTATGTAGACATCATATCTACATTACTAGGAAAAACAAAGACCCTGCAAATGAAACAACAGATTTCATTACTTTAGTCTATACCTGCTTCAGACAGTATATACACTTCTACAGCCTGTGAAGGCAGAGTTTACTGTGTGATATACACACACATAACTGTGGTAAAACACTATTGCTGTATTATATATAGTTAGAGCTCTACACAGTTCTACACAGCACATCACATTTTGGGCTCCAGCACATTGAATTTTGGTTTTCTGTAATACATCATCGATGAATGAATATTTGTTCCATCTTAAGCAGCTTCTTCAGCAGAGCAATCAATGCCTGCATAAGTAAATTTCTCATATAGGGTAGTATTCACATAGGTCTGGAAAGGAAATAAGCAGAGAAGATTTGATGCAAGGTGCATTACCTCAAGAACCCTAAATAATATTGAAATTATGCATAAACTAATTATTTATATAATTGTAAATATATATATTTATATAAAATGCAGTTTTATTCTTACCTTCCTGTCTTCTAACATCCTGTTCAGTGACACCAGTATTTGAGCAAATGATGGTCTTTCATATGGTTTCTCTTTCCAGCACTGTCTCATTAGATCATACCTTTAAAAATTGAACACCAGCATTTGATAGTTTAGATACATAGGTTAAAGTTAAAAATTTTTGATAATTTAAAGATTGTGCATATTCAACTTTTTAGAAGGAAATGGATTTCTACATAGCTGAAGTTGCATTTTCCATAGTTAGTTGCTGAATGAAAAGGACTTTCTATTACTCTGGAATAATCAAAAAGCTCTCTTTGAGCTAAAACCCTGGCGTGTTGTATAAAGAACAAGATAACTGGCTGGAACAGAGAGCCTGAGAAAGTATTTGTTGCAGATTAACAGTGTATGCTGTATACAGAAGTACTTACGCACTTTTAAATTTTTTTAATGTAGTTTTTATGTTTTGTGTACCTTTTTAATTTTTAATGTAGTTTTTATATTTTCCAATTAGAAAAATTGTTAGTTTCTTGTAGAAATAATCTATTTTTTATAGCTGACATCTCAGCTGTTTCTTTTTTAGGTTTTTTCTGAGGCAATACTCACACTTCATCATCACAGTTGAGAGGCTTTTCCAGTCGGTACCCTTGGGGGAGTTTTTCATATAGTTCTGCACATGTCATTCCACAGTATGGTGTTCCACCTAAAGTTTTACCATTGTCATGAGCAGAAACAGGTTTTAATAGAAGAAAGTTTAATATCATAGTAGAAATGGAGAAAGGTATGACTAACATAATAACAGCTAAATTAATCCAAAATTAGGGGGTATTTTGCTGCTACATTTTTATTATTAATTCTTCCTTACTGCTTGATGCACAATATGAAGGAGAAAAGTAAAATTAAGTGTCAATTTTTTTCATCTATGGAGCTGGCCTAATTTTCTCTACAAGTCTGAGGAGCAGGGTCTGATAGTATTCAAAATGTTTTTTCAATAGCGTTGATGGGCAAGTAATTCCTTCATTAGCATCATAATTATAAGATCTGTGGACATGGAGCTCTTACTGTCAGCTACTTTTGCCCCTTTCTGTAGGTATTTGGTTGCTTAGTCTCTTGATTTTCCACACTTCATCCATATCTAGTGCAAACCCATTTAGTAAGGAAAGCCAAGAACAAATCAGAGATCCAGAGTTCCATAGTCCAGTCAGCAATGTGCACCACAGTCGGTAGCATCTCCTGGCCAGCAGACCGTGGGCACATCTCCAAGGCAAATCACAAGAGAGATGTAACACAAATATTTTGAGTGATGCAAGGCTGTATCACAATCATGATGGGTAGAGGTGCCTGCAGAAATGAACTCTAAATTTTTTTTGATGGTTAATGTTCAAAAATTTTCTTCATGAATATTTGGAGTAGGAGGTGATTACTCCTCCACCCTGCAATATCACTAAACTATAAGTCTTGATTTAAAATGCAGGAAAGCTGAGGAAAAGCCATCCACCAAACTCAAAGCATGTTGTACTAAGGCTATATATCATATGATATCCTGGAATTTATATTTAGGTATGGTCTGGATTTTAAATGTAGTGAAAACATGGTCATTATGGTTCTTTCTCATTTAAAATGATACCTGAACTGAAAATTTGACAATGAACCTAAATCAAATGTAGCAGAAAAAAAAAAACAGAAAGAAAATTGAAATATATTGTGAAGCAGTATTTTTTAAAAGACTGAGTGAATAGAGCTGGCTTGGTGCAGATTATTTGTGCAGTACAAAATTCAGATACTTACCTAAACTAACGATTTCCCATAAGAGGACACCATATGACCATCTGCAACAGAGGGATATTACGAAGTGTAACAAGAATTCAACAAGAATGACTATTTTAAAATGATAGGTAGTTTTGCTAGTATTCAGGGAACACAGGGAAGTGTGATGTTTTTCTGTATTTTTTATAGTTTTGCATAATGATGGAGCTTGTATCAGAAAGCAGGAAAATTAGCAAAATTAATTCACTCTGAGTCAACCAAAGACCTTTATCAGATTGTGAGCTTTCAGCAAATACTGAAATTACTGAATTGTTTTTCCAAATACAATTTCTACTTTCCTAAATAAAATGCAAATGTCTTCTGGGTTTCCCAAATATTTATCAGGTCTCCAATTTTGAATAAGTACAGCTAAAGTAATGGGGCACATCCAACTTGGTTGTGCACACAGAACTTGATCAGACCCTGATGAAGAAATAAAACTTTTTTGTTATGGATTTTATTTTTTGCTTCCATTGCTAACTCCTGCTGACATTACTACTGAGTATTTTGAATTAAGAGTGCTCATGCTAGTTGTCAAACTTTCCTTCATATGGAAAAATATTTAACTTTTTATTAAATGCCACTTGAACACATACTTACACATCACTATTTGTGGTGTAAACACTGTAATTCAAAGATTCAATTGCCATCCATCGCACTGGAAGCCGCCCCTAGAAATTATTTAATGAAAGTTTATTTTTCACTTGTTTGTATAACAATATTGCAGTTTGTATGCAAACAATCATTTTGTGCTACCTTAGAGAAAACTTACTATGCAAGTAAACTTTATCAAGTAAATAAACTTACTAAACTTGCGCAGTTTTACAGAAGAAATTCTTTAGTGTGAGAATGGTGAGCCACTAAAACAGGTTGCCCAAATAAGTTGTCAGTGTGGGAGTGTTCAAGGCCAAGTTGGATGAGGCTCTAAGTAACCTGGTGTAGTGAAAGGTGGGGTTGGAACTAGATGGTCTTGAAGGAGCCTTTCCAAACAAATCATTCCATGATACTTTGATTATATGATTTGCTTCCCAAAGGACAGTTCACATTAAAGTTAATATAAAAATTATCCAATCAACATCAAGATGAAATGTAAATAATAGCTCAGATGATGCCTCTGACCATCATGTTGCCTTGACAACACAGTGCTATTTCTGGTCTTTAGCTACATGATGCTTATTACATATCTTCTTTCAGATCTTCCAAAGCATTGGGTCTGGACACATCCTGTTACCTTCTTGTTAACTTTGGCCTTGTTCAATAGAATTAGACCAGCTTGACTCATCTATTTTACTGTCATCCATATTCATTACATTTTATATTACAGACATGGTATAGGATTTATTTACAAGTAGATGTATTTATGTGTATATTAATAAACATGTATATTTTACATAGTAATTAATACAATTTAAATAATCTGTTCTGTTGTACCTATAAGTTTGCATTTTCTTTTAATATGAAAACACAAATTAAGAAATAAGAAAGCAAAATTGAAAAAATAGACTGTATCAATTTGTTTTGATCCTTACCATGGTCTTCTTAACGTAAACTTCCTGACCTCTTGATAAGCCAAAGTCAGCTATTTTTGCAACATAATTTTCTCCAACCAAGATGTTTCTTGCTGCCAAATCTCGATGAATAAACTAAAATAATAATAATAATATTAAGAATAATAACAATAGTGTAATAATATAATAAAATAAGGGAAATAAGTATAATTGAGTTTTACATGTATTACTTTACTGCTGTATTGAAAATTGCAAACATTTGGAATAAGAAAATAAAACAAATAAATTGGCTTGGTATGTCACTACCTGTGAGAACCCCGGGATTGATTCAGGGGTCTTGTGTGGTGGTAAAGTCTCTCCTCCAACCCGTGCTTCCAAAGAAAGACTCCGCAGCCTCTTGTGGTTTGGTCTCAAGGCAGTTTATTGCTAGTTATCTAAAAGATTGTCTTCGCCCGCTGCGGCTGCTTTGGTCAGCGGCCCAGGCAGAGACACACACACCCTGACACCCTCACTGTCCGGTGTCTCCGTCGTCTCTCCCCCCGCCCAAGGCTGCTGCTATCTTTTATATGATATATTGCGTATTATATGTTTACAGATTTTCCCCAATACCTACTATCTATGTTACAATGTGCTTTTCTCCTCTAAACCAATCTGTGAGCGCAAACATCACCAAGAACATGGAGGCAAGGAAGAAGAAGGAGGAAGAACAGGATCAGGCCCACTTTCCTCCATCTTAGAACTCCTGACCCCCTTGTAGAAAGTAAAACCCCCCTGTACAGGTGTTAAAATCCCCCTGTACAATACTAAAAAATTTTCCCCTCTAATTTGAAAATGCTTCTACTATACCATCTAACTCTCTGTGACCGCTTGTTCCACCTTCAAAGTTGGTAACTCATTCCATGGCTCAAACTCAAAATCACAGCTGTTTTCAGCTGCTTGCCAGGGTCTAAAATGCTTCTGACCAAGGCCTGGAACCTCTGAAAATGTCTGAGGGACATTTTGAGTTCCGACAACTACCAAGAACATTTTGAACTTTATCTGAAAATGAAAGCAGTTAACATTTTAAAATGTTGTTTTAGGTTTTAATGCCTCTTCCATGATTCCCCATAACATAGTATTTGATAAGTTTAAATGGCGACAGCAAAATCAATCTCATTCAGTGTGTGCTAGAGAAGCTAAAATTAAAAATTAATGTAATTAAAGGGCATATTCCCTGGAAAAGTATTTTCCATGCTTTCAGTGGGTAGAGAGTCGAAGACTGACCTGTTTTTGGCTCAAGTAGTCCATCCCTCTGGCAACATCTGCTGCAAAATGCAGAAGTTGCTGAGAGGAAAGTGTAGATGCAGTACTGTTGGCAATAGCAAATGCTGGGTCTGTCTCTAGTACTCTGCTTTTCCGAAGGAAGTCCAGTAAATTTCCATGGGGAGCATATTCAATAGCAAGGTAAAGATATCCTAAGGAAACATCAGACAGTGATCATATCACAAAGTAAGAGATGGTCAGTAATAGTCCTTGGAAATTTACACTACCTTGAGTGAAAAAAAGGAAATCAACATCAAACAGCCTGGTGGGAAATGTCAAACAGGCTAATTTCTAGGAGTAGAGTAGAATTTAGAGCTAGTGTTGAATATCAATTCTGGAGCATTAATGTGGGCTTGTAGATCTAAACACAAGTTTATCTGACCTTTTAACAAATGTTGCACAGAGATCTGCTAGTCTCTAGACTGTGTGGGCTATATTGTGAAAGGATTTTTTTAAACTAATTTTTAAAGTACATGCATACGATAGTATCTTACCCCTATGTTCACATGCTCCCAAAAGATTTATGATGTTGGGATGATGACCAAGTTTACAAAGAACTTCAAGTTCTCCAGCAAAATCTCTGTGATCATCTTTTGAGGCATACTCTAAAAATCAAAAAATCACATATTTATGTTTTAGTTTGAACTGAATTTATAACAATATTTTTTTTTTAATTATGAGGACTCTGTGTTGCTTGGGCCACTACTGTTTCAACCCCAGTAGAAAGAGAAAAACTGTAAGGTACATTAGTATTTACAGAAAAAAATAGGATTTTTTCAACCAGAGGGAAAAAAATGTGAGAAACAAGTGTCTGTAGAAGCTATCTGCAGAGAAAGGAAGTATCTTAACACACCCTGTCAGTCTCCTTCTTACCTGAGAGTGTAAAATGTTGTAGAAGATCTTATGAAAAGTAGCTGCTTAAAAATCCTTCCATATGTGTGCTGTTGATTATTTCTGCCTGTATGCAGACCTTGGCTATTTTAAAATTAATCACCACACTTAAAAGTGTTTTTCAATTTGCCTAGATAATGACCTGGTGAATTACAATAAAACATATACGTTCTTGCTGTATTGTATGTATTGTAGCTCTCTCTGGAACGTAGCAGTCATGCCGAGTGAATAAAAAGAAAGGTAATGATCCCCATGGTATGCATCTATAGATGCATAGGCACAGTTTTCTCTGAACAGCTAAAGTGAACAAGATGAGCAAATGCTGTTCCCCAAGACTAGCTCTTTGCTCCTATCTATCCAATGCATCTCGCCTTGCAGATAAACTCATGTGAAGCTCATACTGATCTATGAATTGAAAAGTACATGATAGTTAATCATATCAACCCCTGAGGAGAAATAGAAATCAACTTTACCCAGCAGAAATACAGTTGTTGACAAATTATCCTATATATATGTGTAGTTGTTGGCCTAGTAACACCTGATACAATTTAATTACCAATTTTGAATATTTATTTTAGCTTTAAAAGAGGGCTACCAAGCGATTTGGAATACACAATCAAGAAAACTCTTTAGTCACAGAATTGCTAGTCTTTACTACCTTTCATCCTTTTTATTGCAGCATCCATGCGTAAGCCATCTTTCTTAATGCGTGCTTTCAGGACTTGACCAAAGTTACCTTCCCCAATCACATCTTGAAATTTTATGTCATTCCATTCAAGAACTGGATAAACAGTAGGATCTGGACTGGTTTTGGCTTTCCTGCTCAGAGTGAGAGTACCTGAGTTAAACTGCAGAGCTGGCTCTTCCCTCTGCAACAGAGTTAAGATAGAGACATTAAGTGTGATTTCTACTTCACTGAGCAATGCCCTGGTTACATTTCCTAAGTACCTCTGCTCACTCATCGACACGCGAACACATACACACACACACACACACACACACACACACACACACACACACACACACACACAGAGCTCAATCCATCTCTTGCATACACCAGAGGACATTAGACAGTTACAGCTACTTTAATTGCAATAAGCAGTTTCTGCCCAGATCAAAAAAATTAATCAGGCTTCTAATTTGTGTGTACCTTTTAGATCTTGGCCTCCTGAACAGTTTATGATAATTTTGAAGATGAAGGACATGGGCAAAAATAATATGATAAAACTGATCTCAAAACCAGTCATAAGTCTCAGGTTTAAGATTTATCTCATATTAAGCTTAATTAAATCTTGTGTTGCTCAGGCTCAGTAGGAAGAGTGATACAAGAAGAAGCAAGGAAATAAAAAGAGAGAGGAAATTATCTTCCTCCATGCCTAAGGAGAGATGTCCTCTTCAGTTACACATTCTCATGAAATATGGGAAAAGTTTTAGGAGTAGGAGACAAAGCTGTTTAGTGTGGTCTGCAGACTGATCATGTCTTTGGGTGGGCCCCACACCCCTATTTCTGAAACAACCTATTTAGATATAAAGGAGCTCTTTGGGCCAGCTTCATTCTGCCCCACAGGTTGCCCTCTGAAGGCAGAGAAAAGCACCAGAAAGCAGAGTGATTAAGAGACTGCAGCAGGATCCAAATAAATGTGTGCATAGAGAGGTATCTCCATGTGATGTTAAAACCTTCAGCAATTTCCTTACAGCCAAAACTATGATGTTGCTGTTGATAGATCCCTGATGTACTGTCCCTAGTTTGAAAACAGATGAGCACGTATCAGCAGCTGCTGATGCTCAGAAGTAACATTAAATATTTGGTAGTTTTCAAAATCAGGCATGACTTCACAGAGGCAGAACAGGCTCCTCTATTCTGTCTGGCTTGGTACTTGTCACGCACAAGTGTGACAAGGCAGAAGAGGGAGCACAGCAAATGATAGGCCAACCTTTTTTCAAGTCAAGTTTTCTACCTCCCAGCCTGTAACTATGCTAGCTTTAGTTTTGGGGTCACTAGTAGAGAAGTTTTACAGCACTACAGTTTTACAGAAGTTTTACAGTACTAATTGTACATAAAGAGAAGACAGTGTTTGGGAAAGCCAGGAAAAAGAAATTGGAAGAAAACACAGGAAAAGATGAGCTAAAGTTAATAACCAAACTGACACAGGAAAGCTGGAAACTCACCACCACATTTTGGAAAGCCTGAGCCATTCGATGCTGGAAGTTGGCTCGCTTTAACTGCAGCATGATGAGAAAGGCCAGGAGAATTGTTACACAGGTCATCCCTGCAGAGCCAAGGATAGCAATAAGCAGCATTTTGCCTCCTTTTGATTCATATGAAGCTGTTGAGGAAGGGCATAAGAATTCGTCATAATTTTCAGCTTATTCTGAATTTAGCAATACATTAGCAATGTGCAGCTGAATACTCCTGTCTTGTAAACTGTTTAAAGAGCTAAGGATACATCCCTTTGTTTTCCAAAAATGTCAGAAACATTGAATGCTCTGAATTTCAGATGTATGAGCACCTATATATTCCATTGAATTCAGTCAGAGCAGAGATGAAACCACATTCCGTGATCTAATGGTCTTGCTGTATGCAGGTCCTTTAATTTTTGAGTCACTGGGCCCTTTTTAGTGGATATACACAAATAGTGCATGTTGTCACTTCATCAATATCATGGAGTGAAATTAGAATTAAACTTTGGTGGTGCTGTGTAGTGTGTCAGAATTAATAGCAAAAGAAAACTCAGATTCAAAAATTAGTATTATGACAATGTCATAGCTAACTAGTTTATACAACCAGTCCTGGCTTGTGCAAATCCAGTGTGATGGATTAACTAACCTTTAGTTTCTGGAAGAGTCTTCAGTTCAAATGATGTGTTTGGGTTGCTCAAGCCAATATTGTTCTGAGCATTAATCTGAACCTGGTACACAGTGTCTGGTTCAAGGCCCTTGAGGTGATACTGAGTAATGCTGGTATTCTTTATGATAATATCAATGTGATTGTACTCAGCCTTGCCATAAATTTTGTAGCTGATGATGATGGAGGAGATGGAATGACCCTCAGCAGCTGTCCAAGAGATGACTGAGGATGTGTCTGTGATGTTAGAAAACCTGATGTTGTTCGGTGCAGGAGGGATTCCTGAGAACAAACACAAATAGACATGGCATTGGCATGTACGCCACCTCTTTCTCCTTTCCACAGAGAACAAACATTTTCCTCAGTGCTATTGCTGTGCTAAGCAGACTTTGTTGATGAGCTATGGTAACTGAATGCAATAATTTTATGATCTTGATGTGCTGTCATCCTTGTAGCAATATTCCATACTTCCAGTAGAGGTTGGAGTGGCATTCAACATACTGTCTTGGATGAAGATACACATCCTCTTAGCTGTATGCAAGCACACCATATTTGCTTTCAGGTTAATGCAAAAAGGATTAATTTCCTTCTATACTGTATCATCATTCCCTTCTATTCCCATATCCCATATTTTCACTGCTTCTGAGACCAATTACTTGTCAGGCTGTTAGAAAGAAAGGAAATTGATACCAACACTTCCAAAAATCTAATCAGAAAACCACTAGCAGGGGTGAGCGCTACACTTGCAGACTTGCAGACACAGCCATGAATATTAAGCTAAGTACCTTCTCCTGGAAAACAGTACCCTTATGTTTTTCTCAGTGCAGTTTGGTGTCAGAGCTCAGGAAAATTGAGAGTCCCATGACAGCCATTGATACTTCCACTAACACATATAGTAAGGGCCTTCCTACATGATCTATAAGGAGGAAGAAGCCCACCTTTCCAGTTTGTGGGAAGGGCAGTGTCACCTATCAGCCATTCAGATGGTACTTCATTCAGATAGGGCATTTGTTGTGGTGTTGTGAAAGCACAGTGCTCACACTCAGGGAATTCAAGGGCAGTCTTCAGTGCAGCACACTTAACTACTCTTTGTTCACAGGGATTTTACCTTGCATTGTATCTTCTCTTCTTTAAGTGCTGACTATTTCTGTATTGTCATGGCCAAACTGAGTAACAAAAGAGCTTGGAGTAGTGAACTCTGATGGCTCATCATTCTGAGGAGGAAAAAAATACTACTTGTGTCAGAAGCACATGTCGCACTGAAATGAAGATGTGGATTCTCAAACTTGTTTTTCTCAATTTAAAAGAAACCTACATTAATAGTTCCTGACAATTTCCAGCAGAAGGATTCCTTTGGACGCTGAGCTTTCCAAATAATAGCAATAACAACCATAAGCGACCATCAGGAACTAAGTGTTACTAAAATAAAGGATTATATTTAATGTAGTCATCAAGTGACAATTAGTCTGACCACTGTGGGTAACATGAAGAATTAAACAGAAGGATGTGAATCAGCACTTACTGTCACTGAAAGTCCATGCATACAGATAGTTGCTCCATTCTCCTTGGGACCTGGTGTTCACTCGTACCCTGCACATGTATTGCTGTCTAGGCTCAAGATCTTTAATGATCAAGGTGGACATATTTCCTGGCACTTGAGTAATAACACTGCTCTTGTCATCGTTGTCATTCACGGTCTTCCTTTCCACTTCAACACGAATATCATCCTCTGTCCTCAGTGTTAAGGGATGCCATGACAAATTCAGTGATGTCATACTTTTTGGAAAGAGAGTGATACCTTCTGGTGGAGGAAGACCTTGGAAAAGCCACAGTGAAATAGGGAACAACATTTCATGTCTGATATCTAAGCTAAAACAGGGGTACAGTAATTCCCAACCACTTGCCCCAGTTTGGGGTGACATCTCTCAGCCATCCCACATAATTTGGCTGAAGTTACATCTAAGAGGTGTTGATAGTCCCATAGTATCTTAGCAACCAATGATGTGCCAATAAAATGGCATCTTCAGTGAGCTTATGTTGAAGATGGACTTTTTAGATGTGAGAAGCCAAAAGTTGTTGTCTTGCTAGATAGGTCCTGGTGTAATCCTCATTTATTCTTTATGTCTGTATTCAGTTTATTTAGTTTGGGATCTATTCTAAATGGACTAAAAACTTTCCAGCTTATTAAAACATCTTCATTTTTAAAGTAAATTGATCTAACGCTAAGACGAAGGACTGCAAAAAAGTGATTCTTATCTCCAACTCTGTTGCATAGCCAGCCAAAATATATAAATTTTCCTTTCCTCAATCCCTCATCTCTAAATCAGGGAAAATAATAGCTCTGCCTTTTTCTGGTTTTCTTCACCTCTGTTTTTTGATTTGGTCTTTCTTTTCCTTCACTTTTTTTTTTTTTTCCTATCCCTTTGCCTGAGATTCTTTTGAAAGGGTCTACAAGGTTTTCAAGCGCAACTTTCTTTGCTCGAGTGAAAGTGTTATGACAGAGATCAGGGAACAGACAGCAAAGAAAAAGAGCTGAAATACCCCATTTTTAAGAAGCCATACTGATCCCTTACCAAGTGCAGCTGTTGTGAAGCTGGCCTGTGGTCCAGGATGGCCTTCCCCACCTTCCCCTTGCCGACTCAGCTGAACACAGAACTGATACTCAGTTTTGGGTTCCAGATTGTCCAGTCTTTTAGTTGTGCCTTTTACTGACAACAAAAGTCAAATGTAAGTAAAGCCATGCCCCATGTTGAAATATGTTATGAAAGAAAATGTTTGGAAAATACAAGATAAGGTACACAGGCTTCTTTTTTTGTTGTTGTTCTTGATTCAGTAGGATAAACTAATTAGAAGTATAAAATAACTGGTTTTAAGTTGAGCTCCAACCCAGTCCAAAGGTTGCTTCATCTGCCCTTATTTCAGGACAAAACAATACTGGTTGCTTAGTCAGTGTCCCTTCTGTAAACAGATCTTGGGTTATACTGATTTAGTAACAGCTGTTGTTAAAGGTCCTGTATTATTTCCTGTAGTATTTGAGGCGATGCATAAAATTTGAAAGCATAGCTGGAGGAGGTAATCTAATTCATAAGCAGGCATCATTTTGCCTATACCATTACTTATAAATATTTTGGTAAGTTATTTGTTTCACTAGGGCCACAATGAACACAACGCAAGATGGCAGATGCCACAGCATGCCTCCATACTGCCCACTGCTTTTGAAAACCTTCTGTTTGCATGGGAGTTTAAAACAGATGGGTCCAATACTGAGTACACATAATCCTAAAGAAGAAGGGGAAAACCTTTTGTTCCTGAAGTGAATATTCACTTTCAACTACTGTTGGCATAACACATCCACATGAACATTATGTGTAGTGATAAACAGTCACACATCTAGTCACAAAATGTTTAATTTCTATGCATTGTATAGTCTTTTGAGGCTAATCACAAACAGAAACACATGACATTTCAGTTGGTAGATGGAGTTTGCCTTTAAGGGAATTAAAGAAGATCCTCTTACCTTCCACAGACATCCAGGACTGATAACGTTTTTCTGGCTTGTATAGAAGTTTTGTTGACACAACAGGTCCATCTCCATAGTGTAACTCAGCATTGATATCAATTACGAGAAAATTATGTCCTCTGTCTGTCAGCCGTGGGGCATACTGTGGCACAGGAGGAACTGAACAAGAATGCAAATATTAAACTAACCTTTTAGCTCCCTATATCAATAAGACTCTGGTTATTCCTAGATCTGTAGGAAAACGAAAGGTGCTCTTCCAAACTCTCATAAAACAGATGGGGCTTTACGCACTAAAGCTGACAGTTAAGATATTTTAAAAAAAACCCTTGGGTGTTCTTCTCAACCTTATCATCACACTTATTCTTTCAATATACATAATTAGTATGTTAAAATGGGTTTCTGTTAATACTCCAACTGTAGATATTTATTCAGGCATTTTCTGGCAGTGCAGAGAACAGAAAGCTCAGCCATGCTAGAGTATAAAGCTGTACTTAAAATTAGAGAGGCAAGGACACTTGAAGAAAGCTGTTACCTTTGACTGTAACTTGAAATGGTTTCTCTGCCATTCCTGCTACTGTCTGCACACTGCAAACCCAAGTTCCTGTATCTCCAGGCAGGACTCTATTAATTCTAAACATGGCTTCAGAATGATTACTGGTAGAAATTTCATCAGGCTGAAATGACAAAAGATGTACAGGACCTGAAAAATTTGTGCATTTTGGAGTATTCCAATGATACATTGAGATTAGTGATGTCTATAAAAAGCATCTATAATGGTCAACTCTATATTTTCATATATATATGCTGAGAAGTTCATGGGGCATCCCAGAACACCAAAAGTTCATATTATGCTTGAAAACCTTAGTATGCATTAACTGCAGATAGAGTCAATATAAACATGAGAAATAGCAGAAAGCAATTGATCAGGAGCCTACCTTTAGGACAGTTCCATCTTGCTTCAAGAGTTTGAATTCTTCAGATTTAGGAAGCGGCATCCCTGTTGCTATACAAAATGGCTTGAACTCGACACCAGAATTGAGTTCCACAGGATCTAGTAAGTTTACTATCTGAGGTGAAAGATCTGCTGAGCCTACAGAAGATAGTACAGTATAATGTCACTCTTCCAACAGATATTTTAAAAGACAGGTTTAGGTGTGTAGGCAGTGTAGGTGTCTGGTTCCACCTTCCCTTATGTGGGCATATGCAAGAATCATGCTTCACAAAATCAACATTTTTACATCATTTTATATATAATGTGAGAAGGAACAAGCCCTGTGTTCACTCTTCTATCTTTATCTGATCCCTCTCCTCTCTTTCTTGTTGACATTTTAAGCACAAACAATCTAGCCATGGCAAAATCATGCACGTATTTTGTTCTGAATGTACAGTGCCTACTTGCTCTCTCTTTTGTCTATTAGTAAGACTAGAGAGATCACAACAGTATAATTTGGCTGGTTGGATCACACCCCTATTTCTCTATTTGGTTTTGTTCTTGAACAGTTTCACTTATCAGCAGTAGATTTGTCACTTTATTTACCTAGCTAAAATAATAAATGCTGAGTGCATCTTATGGAATACCTTGCCTGAATCCAATGAGATAAGATATGTTCAGCTTCATAAACTTAACATTCTCCCAGAGAGACAGAGCAGTTTTAAATTCTGGTGTTGTCTTAGTGTCTCAGTCATCACTTTTAAGTGATGAAGCTCATGGTATAGGAAAGTATGCAGCCAACTAAGAGGTAGGTAATGGTAAAATACCATAAGTTAATACAAAAAGCTAGATGTGCAGCTTCTGTCAGGGATTAATGTTAAAATCAATCAAGTCCTATGAAGTAAAGTTTGAAAATCTAAGGATATCATCCTGATAAATGTAACATATAGGTCAGAGGCTTAAAAATACTATATTGCAATGAAGCTGTACAGAATTGTCTGTGCCCCTGGAAAATAGTGCGTGGAGCAAGCATACCACCCTGGAGTGGTAATGCTGTACCAGCATTAAGATCTGTTCTAGTTACACTGGGAACAACCATTCAGTACCTTACTTTACCTTTCTTTTCACATTGTGGACCATGCCATCCGAAGGAGCAGATGCAGCCCTTAAATCTGTTGCATGTTCCCCGATTGTGGCAATTACATTTGAGTTTGCAATCTGACCCATAAAACCCAGGTGTGCATTCTGCAAGTACATATGATGCAGTTAGTGTAAAGGTGCTAGAAAATGTCTTCCAGTATTTTTCAGTCTCATTACTGAAAGAACTTTTTCACATCACTGTAAAATATATAATCTATTACTCTTCCCTGTTGGCTCCCTTCTGTATTTCCCGTGTGCAGAACATTAAGGATCCCCCCCATTTGTTGGGAAGGGTAGATAAATATGATTAAGAACCACAATGGTACAGCCAGGACGAATATAACGCCCCCTACTGGCTGGACAATAACCCTCACAGAGGGGTCCAAAAGCCAAATGGACTGTTCCATCTCACCCCCCAGAATGTATGGTTCACCCCACACCTGTAACCCTCCCCTGAACCATCAAGTGCCTGTGACCCCATTGGCCCAAGTCTTGTTCCAGCTCACCTTGAAGCCCCCCTTGATAAGGGGTCTCTGGTGGGCCGGACGCCCTCTTGGATCTTCCCCTCTCCTCCTGGAACTTCCTCCTGGAGTCCCTGCTCCCCCCTTTGTCTCTCCCCTCCCCCATCGCCTCAGGCCCAGCCACGTGCTGCTACACAGCACGAGGCAGGGCCACAATGCATCCTGAATAAACCTCATCCCCCAAGAGCAACCAACAGAGATCTCGCTTATATCCGTCCGTGGAATACCCCTTCGAATGTCTTTACACCCATTCTTTTTTTTTTTTTTTTTTTTTTTTTTTAACTATACCTTTATCACATTCCAGTCCCATCCATCCTGTGGCACAAGAACAACCATATGGATCTGGTAGACAGAACATAAAGTTTCTACAGCCATAATTTTCTTTACAGGTCTCTTCACAAGTTTTACCAAATGTGTTGGCTCCGCAAGCTGTTGAAGGGAGGGAGGGAAATAATAACCCAACTGCACTGTCCATGAAAGAGCTAGTGCTTCTAATGATACTTCATTAGAAAAAGAAAACATGAATTTTAATTAAAAATGGCAATTTGATCATTCAAATATATTCATCACCACAGCAACTTAAGTCACAGCTGTTCTAATAGTCAAGTGCAGACAGCAGAAACAAACAATTTTCTCACTGTGAGGATCTGTCAGCCAAGGACCCTAGCTTTTGATCTATGGGGATACAGATTCAGCAAAAATTTTGGTTTATAAGCATTTCTAATGTAATATGGACAAGCAGTGCTATGAAACCCAAATATTTTTAGTGGTGAATTCATGAGAAACTGCTCATGTCAAGGTTTTTCTTCTAAGATAAGAGCAGTGCTATGCTGGAGTGGTTTGAGTGACAACTATTCCAACTAATCTAAGCTCTAGTATTTTCAGCACTTCAATTCAGTCAAATAAAAGGATACATATTTAGCAGTGAGCCCAAAAGATGCTTGGAGAAGTCAAAGCAATGTGGTGCCTATTCTAATTTTTCCAGAATCCAAACTGCTTACCACAGACACAGATTTGCACAAACTATATACATTGTTGATGTCCCTACACAGACAAAGCACCCTGTGAGCACATTAGCAGCTTCTTCAGAAGCAGCCAGGGAATCTCTAGCATATTTCCTAGAGCCAATGTATTCTTAAGATGTACTCTACCATCATGTATTTAAGTTAGGCAGCAGCACTGAGCATACTCATTTCAAGGGAATCATAGGACAGCCCTGATTTGAAGTGGCCCCAAAGATCATCTAGTCCAGCCTTTTGTGAGAAAAGGAGCCTAGAAGATATTAGGCTGCATACTTTCCAAGTGCATATTGATCAAGAAGTGTTGGAAACATTCCTCTTCCCTAGCAACATAATCTGTACTAGGAGAAGAGAGAAAGAGAGATATTAAATCACAAAGGCAAGAACAGCCAGAACAAAATTCAGAATTCATCTCACCCAACTCTGTCTTGTCTAGCACTACCGCTGTAAATCCTGTAGCTTTCAAGAGTAAAACCAAGCACTCCTTATGATTCTTCCCTCAATAATATGCTAATTTCTGTTACTGAGAACAAATTATTAAGCAATCGCTGAAAATGTTATTTACTTACCTTTCTCACATGTTTTTCCCATGAAACCTGGAGGACAGATGCATTCCCCGGTATCTTCATGACAAATGCCATTGTTTGTGCAGGAAGGGCAGTGGAAGCTACAGGATGGGCCCCATTTCTCAGCTTCACACCCTTTTATGGAAAAATAAAATTATATATTTGTTATCTTCTTATTCAGTAACCCTTCAAGTTTATTTTTTAGAGCAAACAGTAAAATACATAGAAGTAAAATCTATATGGACCCCCACACTCCTGCCAACTGGACCATTGTAGTTAGTAAGGTAGCAGTAGCTTCAAAATCCAAATTTGGGGTATTACATTTATTTATTCACAACTCATAGAACTATTGTGTGGATATTAATGAAAGAAATGTGTGTTACCATCATAAATAATTTCTCTGCAATGTGAGATATTTGAAATCTATTTTTTCACATCAATTCTGTATTTCAGTCCAAGTTAACAGAATAAAATTTTATTTCTATCTGATGGACACAGCAGCATGAACAGCAAAGTATGTAGAATATTTATTGGAAAATATCCCAATTCATTCTTTCATCCAGTAGGAAGTGAACCTCAAGAGCTAGTTAAAACTGAGGTAGTTTGTGAAGTTATGATAACGTATGCAAAAGATGATGAACCTTAGGATAAGTGAGGTTTGAGTATAATCCACCTTAGGGAACAGGGAGACCCAGTGACGAATTACTTCCTTTATTAATTCTTGGTGTTTGAAAAGCTGAGATGCTGACAAAAGACCTAACTGTCCTGACAGTAGCTAAGATGAACTCAGCTTAAATCTGATGGGGTGGTTTTTTTTTCTATCTCAGCTGTTGATGTCAATATCAGCTTGTACCAAAGACCCTTGGGTAAAATTTTATTCTGACATAATCTGATAACAGCAAGTTCAAGAAAGATTTTGATCCTTATTTGGGAACAATATGTTTAATTTCAGATTAAATTTGACTTTTAACTCTTAATCATCACCACACATTAATGGAACTTACGTCTTACAATAAGCCTTGTGTAAGCAGAAGTAAAAAGGTTTCCTCCTATATATCTGGCAGAGTAAACCCCTGCATCCTGTGGTTGGACTTGAGGGTAGGAGACTTCCAGCTCTCCCGGAACTTCATGCCTGGGCACAGAGTGGATGAAGGAGCCTGAGGAAGGAACACACAGATACGACAGATGTCATTCACCCTTTAGATAAAGAAATGAGCTTGCATTGGTTACTGAAGAACAGTTGAGGCACACCAAGCAGCAGAATATTTTCTTTATTAATTATGAATTTTCTGACAACTTTAGCTACACTGGTTTTCCATAATTGGTCAAGTTCCAAGTAAAAAGGAAGAGAGATCTTGAGGAGATTCAGCAGATAAACAGGACAAGCAACTTCACACTCAGCTTGATAAGAATTTAGTGGTTAAAATTATTCATTTTGTTTCTTGGTCTTTTCTAAAGTAAGGGATAACAATCCATAAGGATTCTAGGGTGGCAGGAGTTTAAGAGCAAATGCCAACCATGTCCAATTCAGTCTGACCAGCACAAAGATTTACTTCGGAAATGAAAGCAGGAAGAACTCAGCATAGCTTTATCTTTTCTTCCCAGTTTTAACACATTTCTGTTTCTTCCAGGTTTTTTCACAAAAAACTCTTTTTATTTTATTCTAAGTTTGTTGTGCTTGGTCATACATGTTTGCTAAAGGCAATAGTGTTTGGTCTTCTTCCATTCCCCTAGATCACCAAGTAACAACATTTGAACATTTGTTGCTGTCAAAGAGGTGTTGCATCCACTGAACTTCAGGACTCCCAGGAGTCTTTCCACTCTAGTCTGTTAGACCAAGGCCACTGCAGTTGGTTGATGCCAGGTCCAGCTAGCTCTCACTCAAATATTTCTGCACATGCTCATCCACACTGTACAAAGTCATCCAGCAATATACCCACACAGCACAACTGTGATTTTATGACTACTGCATATCTGTATGACATTCACTAAAATAGCTTGGATTGGAAGGAACTTGAAAGATCACCCAGTTTCAAACCCCCTGCCATGGGCAGGGACACCTTGCACTGGATCAGGTTGCTCAGGGTCCCATCCAACCTGGCCTTGAACACTTCCAGGGATGGAGTAACCAAAACTTCTATGGACAGCCTGTTCCAGCAATTTGCTATACTCACAAACAAAAATTTCTTTCTTGTACCTGATCTAAACACACCATTTTTTCAGATTAAAGCCATTCCCCATTGTCTTGTCACTATCAAAAGTCCCTCTCTACGTTTCCTTCAGCTCCATTAGTACTGGAAGGCTGCTATAGAGGTCTCCCTCTGGACTTATCTTCTCCTGGCTGCAAATCCCAACTTGCTCACATTAACAGCCTAGACAGTCTGACCCTGTTCTGATTTGCAAGCTCAAATGGCTGAATGACCATTACCAATGGTACTCTCAAGAATCAAACTGTCCTCATCTTCTACATTCCCTTACAGTCCCTGAAAATGCAACAAATTTTTTTCCTTTTTTTTCCACTTTTCTTAAATTGTTTAGAAGGTAAACAGCATCAGGCAGGATGTTTGCTGTCTGTGATCATATATACTATCAATTTGACTGTTGTCAAATTTCAGGCAGCCTAGAAACCTAAGACTGTGCTGAGGATCATAACCAAAACAGCAGAAAGACTGTGGGGCACTGTTGTCCATGACAGAACCATTCTCCATGATAACAGGGCCAAATTAAAAGAACAAATAATTAAGGGGGTTTGTTTTGAAACTGTGGGGCATTTTCTAGTACCTTTTGAGTTACAAGTTGTATAACAAACTTGACAACAAAAAAGCCTTAAGCTTACAGTCTGCTAAGAAAAGCTCAATTCTTATGACTTGTTTTCCAAGAGTTATGCCAATGTCTTAAAGCAACCCTGTTTAGCAGAGTTATTACATTGCCTAGATAGCCATTGTGAGATTCTGTAAAGGGGAAAGCAGTACTTGAAACAACTGAAGTGAAAGATTGCGACAGCTAAATATAGTTGGAGAAGCCTTTTCTTTTCCATCTGCTGTAGCAGAACTTCTCAGAAATGTTTTAACATCAACCTCAGCTGGAACACTTGACCTACTGTCCAGAGGTGATCTGAGATATTTTGCTGAATTTCCAGATGGAATCACAGCTAAGGGAGTACCACAATATAAGTAGTCCTGCTCCAACATCTCATCTGGTTATTTTCTGAGAAACTGGTGATAGGAGATCACAAAATTTTCCTAGGGACCCTGTAATGACAAGTGATGGCAAACTTGTCTGCTGTGCCTTGACATAGCTGAGTCTCTGAAGTGCAAAGAAACAGGTATTTGTGAAAGGTTACTTTGCCTATTGCCTCTTTAAAAGACACCTTTTATCTATTTAGCTCTTCCAGCCTGTTGAAGTGCTCCAGGTAATCAGTAATGAGGGTTGAGGCTGACTCACTACATGAGTTCTTTGGCAGTGTATTGACACTTCCTTAGCTCATCCTGCTCTATTTACTCCCGGTGTCCTGGTGGCTCTCTGTCAAAGATGGAGCAGAATATTACACATGCTTCCCACAATCATAATTTGTTGTGGTTTAAAAATTTGATTATGAAGGCAGTGTGAGTTATAGTGACCTCTATTTTTGTATTTTTCTACAGGAGGTAGATAGTAACCTGCACATACTTCTAAGCATCAAGCAGGAGCAACACACAGCTGAACAGTGATTACATGTGATTTAGGTGCCATGCTAGATAGAAGAGTTGGTGTTACAAAATTACAACCTGACTAACTTTTGTAGTTGGATGAAATAAGGACTAGATTTTGTTTACAATTTTTTCTTTCCTATAGCAGAGTACTAGTCATTAATTTCTTAGCTTGAATGGCATTATAGAAATGGCCTCAAAAAGTCTTCTGAAGAATACAAAGTATGACTTCAAAAACTATAGAAATGCAATGAAAGATGCACTAACTGGGTTTTCACAGTGGCCCAGAAAGAAAAACAACCAACCAACCTAAAAACAACCGGGCAATTATATGAAGGGATGTAGAAGGAAATCAAAAATTAAAACAAAACAAAGTAGAGATATAAACAGAAGATTGGGCATTTTGGAAGAGTAACAGGTCAGATTAACATATTGGATATGGAAATTCACCCCTTTAGGAAACAAATGTGTGAGGAATGATGCCAGCTACAGCTACACAGCATGGGCATCAGCAGCTCTAACTTTAAAAGACTTACTTGGCCCTCAGCTAAAACAATTATAGCAAAAAGAGAAAAGACAAAAATATTGAATACCATTCTTGTAGATCACTGCATCTTCCTCTTTTGATGCCATTCTGATGAAGGAGATATTCACATGCTCTCCCTTATTTGCTGTAACAGTTAATGCCACTGGGTAGAAGGAAGCTGAAAACAGATGTGATAAATAGCAGTTACTGTCTCTATCTGGTCTCTGGCCTGATAGCTGAGAATGGGTTACAGCATGAGCCTCACTCAGATTTTGACGCATCAATTTCTTTAGAGCATAAAGTGATTCTTTACCATCAGCAGCCTCAACTTATATTTTAGCAAAGACAGAGGAATTGCCCATACCCTGAAACAACAGACTGCCACTAGAACCTAAGGCATGAAAAAAATAATTGGCTTCTAACTGGAAACAGTTTCTAACTAGGAACTCCAACTGGCTGTAAAACATTTTCCAGTTTCTTTATCTCTTAAGACATTTTTAAATCAGACTGGAAAAAGTACTGGAAATTGTATTGCAGGGAACAAGCTGTCACTGGCAAATAAATACCTAAGGTGATTTAAGTTCTCTTCTACGTAAGCTTTATAATGCAGAAATGTCAAGAGAGTTCAGGAGACCACAATTATTCGGGGCTGGGAGGAGGTGAGGTGGGATGTAGTAGGCCTGTGTTTGTGTTAGTTCACCAAATTCTGGAAATACAGAGAATGTTGGATTGCACTAAGAACCAAAGGGGGAAAAAAATCATATTCATAGGCTATGGTACTTTCATTACAAAATATTGCTTAGTGAAAATAAAAATTCTGTGTTAGAGACTGGTGTAGATCAGCAATTTTCCAGCAGGGAAATTTAAATTCATTTTCCTGCTTAAACAGAAAGGTACTTTTATACCTTTGTTTGTAGATCTTGATTTAAACAACAAAGAAAGCAGTAGATAAAAGGATTTTCCCAACATTTTTGCCTATTTCTTATCTGTACAAGTGGGAAAATGTCATCAGAAGATAACTGTGGAAGGGACAGAAAAAGCTCCAAAAATGGCTCTTCTTGAAATGGTAGTTTTCATGAAACTAATGAAATGGTAATTTTAATTACCACATTAATTTGAAGCAAGTTAGAAGTTAAGGATGATTCCTTTCATTTACTTGGAAAATCCAAAGGGAAAGTTGTGAAGTGTTTTGACAATAAATTCAGGTTTTCTTGCCAAATTTAGCTCTGAGGGTTTATGCCATACTGTCGTTTTTATGTGCTATGGGAAAAAAATTCTTCTAAAATTAGCCAAATCCACTTCCTAATATTAAGCTCCTTACCTGATGGGGAATTTGATACCTCTGTACTTTCCCTTTTAGAATACGCAGGGGAGTGATGTATTGATTTAAACCAATCCCTTTGCTCTTTCTACATTTGAAGTTTTCTCGCCTTAAGGGTTCCTCCTATAGAAATTCCTCCATGTAAGTCCATCTAGCTTTGTTTTTCTTTCTCCTGCTACCTGCCTGTCCAACCAGGTGAGTGGGACTTTTCTGACCCACTGAGTTTCAGCTGAAAAGAATCCTTGAAGAGCCATTCATGCTTCTAGACAACTCTGCATTTTCAGAGGTTCCATTTCACAACAAATATTTTCACAACAAATATTTATTTCACAGCATATATTTTTTGAGGAACATACATACAAGTTAATATAAACTGTTATACAACTTATTAATAAAAAATTGCCCTTTATGTAGAATCATGACTCCTTTCTTGGTTCATTTTTACAAAACTGTTAATAAAATATTCTTTGGTTCATACCATCAGTTGGAGAAGAAGAATTTGGATCTTGTGGCTGGCTAAAAAATGGTGGGAAAGAGATAGGATCAGAAAGCATAGAAAAAAATATGAAATATCTTTCTGTCATATTTTATATGCAACAGAGCTGTAAAAATTGAGCAGACAGATGCTGTATCAAAGTATGTATGATATTCTGTCAGTATATCCACAACACAATTTTGCAAAATCTGAGGTAGTAAAAAGGATTATATTCTTGCAATAAAAGAAAGAACATTTTGATATTTTCATTACAAGATAGAATTTTAAGTTAAAATCAAAATGTTTGCATCACATGATGTAAAATTAGAGAAAGAAAATCTGAGCAAGCCAACTTCTCTCTTAGAATATAATTTCCTTGAAAATTTTGACATTTAAATGTTTTAGTTATATTTGGAAACAAGACAACTATTGAAAATAGACAATTCTTTGCAGAATGGAATTTCCATCCCCTGTGGAGTTCTAGTGGTTATGCTTGGAGACTCTGCCACACATTTTTATTCTTTTGTAAGTTATATACAATTCATTTCAGCAGGAGTCTCCCTGCTTTACATTAAGTACATGCATTTGTCATTTTACCTAAACACTGGATCTACACATACATCTTAGATAAACAGAAATTTCTAATATAGAATAATGAGCTAAATTTTCGTTAGAAACAGGAAACAAAAACTGAAAGCAATTCCAACTTACTGTCAGCTCTCAAGTCAGAAGTTATTTATTAGTAACAAATGCATAGTGAAAAATCATTATCTATTTAAGAAAAAAAACAATTCAACAGCTTTTCCAAAAATTAATTGTTAGCTACAAATGATCATAAGGGGTTTAGTTGCAGTGCTTTTTGGACCAAATTTAGTGAGACAATGCTAATTGTTTTAACAAGATATTAAACTTTTGTATTCCCATCACTCTTCTTTGCATTTCAAGCTTTTCAACAGAGTACTGTTGCAATAGAAAGGAATGTACACTCCCTTTTGGGCTCAGCTCCAACATATTTTTAGATTGTGACTTGTATTACATGATTTCACATCTCAAGTGTGGCAATTCCTTATAGAGACATAACGAACTGAGCTGCAGGACAAGTGCCATAATGCTCTACTGCTAGTATTTCCATTATTGTTCCTTTGACATCTCTATGGTTGAGTTTCTGGGGGGAAAACTCAATCACATATATGAAAATAAACATTTATTGTGTAGAGAAATTGAGTAAATTGTATTTGACTAGCAGGAGAACACTCTGTGGTGTTTTATTCTAGAGATGTGTACTTATACAGAATAAGGATCACTCCCCATAAGAAGATAAAGCAGAAACTGTTCCCTCTCATTGCATGTATGAATATTACACATGTAACTATAATGTTTCAGTATAAAGAATTCAGGAGAATGGACTTAATCTCAGAATAGCAGATGGTAAAATAAGTCATATCTCTCCATATTACACAGAAAAAATTTTCACTGTATGTACATATTTGATAATAGGTATATAATCAGGGAGATGGCAGTTCCCACTAAGTCAGTAGGGCTACCAAAATGACTAATGCTTGGTGAATGTTTCACCAGCTTCTTGCCAGGAGGATGCAAAACAGTGGCTGGCTTTCCAGAAGTGCTGCTTTTTCCTTTGACATTGATGTCACCAATGGAAACTGCACATTTCAATTCAATTTTTTCTGTTGAAAAACATATTCTGCCTTTAAAAATTATAAAGACAACAACAGTGAAGTGGAAAAAGGTCTGTTTTCCAGATACACATGCTTTGCCAAACTCCAAAATCTTTCCTTAACCTTTCCCCACTTTCTGTGCACTTTAACAGCTATGGGAATTTCTGATGTACCTCTCTCTCACCCATCTATTCTGATTAGATTATATGCTTTCACTGAGAACTTGCTAGTTTGAATTTTCTTAGTAAAAATTTTTGCAGAGAAAATCTGAGAAAGGGATTCAAACCTAAAAATTAATCAAAGAAATCTACCAATTGCTGTTGTGAATGCTACTTCAGTTTAGAACAATGTCTGTCACATAAGAAGACTTCAAAACTTTATTACTTGAAATTCTCTGGTCCTAGGCCCACAGATACCAAGTGGAAAGAACTAATTGATTCAGAAGACATTCCTGCACCCATGCACATTGCTCTACAACAGAACAGCTAGAAATGTGCTCAGCTTGCTGGCAGACTGCCACAGGCAGGGCCACATTGACATTCTATGGACTATTACCTTATCTCCTCCTCACTGCAGCCTCCTTTGAAACAATGGAGTTGTCAGTCTGCATCTGCAGATCTTTCTTGGTGACCAATTCAAGCCTCCAAAGACCACTTTTGGTCAGAGAAAACAAGCCAGGGAAAAATGTACTTGTCCTACTCAGTTTGCTTCCAACCTATCTATGTTCATAGCAATGATAATAGACACTAGCTGCATCTCTAATGAATTAAAAAAATCTCCTTTTATAAATTTGTTATTTAATTTCAGGAGATATCAACAACAAAAATTGCTCTTACTAAAATCTTATAAAGTAAAATTAAAGTTGTCAAGTGCCCTTACAGAGTTGCCATGGCACAAAGCATTAGCAGTACAGTAAATAGTAAAATCTATTTTAAATTATCCATTTTAACAATGTGATTTGCTGCAGAAAATTACTCAAAAATTCTTGTGCCTTTCAGTAGTTTATGGTTATCTCTTCTTTGAAACTTGTCCCAGAAGTCTAATGATTTCCAGAAAAAAGAGAAATTTTGAACATACAGAAATGCAATTTAATGGACCTTAGAAATCTCACCTTCTTGTCCCAGTATATCCCTGCACATTTGCTTTTACTACTGTGCATAGACTAAAACCAAAATCAAATGAATAGTGAAATAACCTTAGGCAAGGCAATCCTTTTCTGGGCTCAGGTTGCCCATTTACTTAAGAAAGACAGAATAGTGGTCAGACCTGTCAAACTTTTAAAGTGGAATCCTGTTTGAAATCAAGTGTCTGGCATGCAAGAAGCCCAGTGCAGGAGTTGCTACGTATGTTATTTCATGGGGTCAGTGAGGCCATTTTAATTGCTGACTTTGTGTTCCTGGCAGTAGTCAGGTGCAGGCAGAATACTTACAGATGTCTAACTAACTTCCACAATGGAATGACTAGCACCTAATACCAACCAGTTTCTCTGCACTGTAGAAAAAAAAAAAAAAGGTCTTGAAGCAAGTCTATTTTTATTGACTCAGGACTGCCTTGACTGGTCTGGGGCCATGTTTGTGCTCACTTATGTCAACCAAGGGTAGCTGCCAGTCTGCAAGCAGTGACATGGCAAATTCAGATCTGACAACTATACTGTACCTCCCAGTGGCATCTTCATGGTATGTATCCTTGTCACCTCATCCTTGAGTTTCCCTTCACAGTAATATGCTCCAATAGTTTCACTGGCCTGTTCCCTCTTCCACACCACTGTTTTGGCTGCTGCTCTTTTGGAATCTTCATTAACTTCCAGTGGTTCTCGATGCTGGTTTGCCACACCCTCCTGGTCCCGGCCTATGGTGATAGACTCACGGGAATGCCATTTGGATGTGACACATATAAGTGATGTCTCAGAGTTGCCCACCAGAGGAAAGGAATTGATCAGTATGAGGTCCAATGCTGCTTCTACTTTACCTAAAAAAAAAAAAAAAAAAATCAAATGAAAAAAATTTTACTGTAGAATTTGATGTGGCTGATCAAATCACCAGGTAAGCTGGTGTCACCCAGTGCTCAGGGTTTCTCTGGCTGGTGTTGTGCACAGCGTTTGTGCAAAATTGGATGAACACAAATAAATTATTCTGCCACAATGACTTTAGGATTTATTATGACACAAACAGATGGAATTTGCTCTTCTTAGAACAGGCAGTATGTCTTACAAACGT